GCAACCGGAGAAGGTTGAATTGGTGAAAAATCCAGGCGTAAAATTGTTTGTTGATCTCACAGACACTTGAGACAGGCAGCTGGTGTTAGGGATCAAAGCAGAAGATACCGATAAGTTCGGTAGCGACACTGTTAAGTCGCTCGGAGGTGCAAAGACCAACTTCAGTTATACTCTCATAAGATGAAGCTGCTATTGGCAGTACTTTAGTAGTAATATACATGTAGAAGGGCTTTGCCACTCCAAATGTAAATATTACTGTTTACTGACATAAACAACAATAGTCCCCGCGGTTTACTGTCATAAACAACCATAATCAACATGGTTTACTGTCATAATCAACCAAAGTCCCCACGGTTCACTGACATAAACAACCATAATCCCCAAGGTTTACTGTCATAAACAACCATAGTGCCCGCGGTTTACTCTCATAAACAACCATAGTCACCGCGGTTTACTGTCCTAAACAACCATAGTCATCACTGTTTACTGTCATAAACAACCATAGTCCCCGCGTTTTACCCAGGGTTTCCTCTCATAAACAACAATAGTCCCCGCGGTTTACTGTCATAAACAGCCATAGTCCCCACGGTTTACTGACATAAACAACCATAATCAACATGGTTTACTGTCATAATCAACCAAAGTCCCCACGGTTCACTGACATAAACAACCATAATCCCCAAGGTTTACTGTCATAAACAACCATAGTCCCCGCGGTTTACTCTCATAAACAACCATAGTCCCCGCGGTTTACTGTCCTAAACAACCATAGTCATCACTGTTTACTGTCATAAACAACCATAGTCCCCGCGGTTTTCTGACATAAACAACCATAGTCCCCGCGGTTTACTGTCATAAAAAACCATAGCCTCGTGGTTTACTGTCATTGACAACCATAGTCCCCGTGGTTTACTGACATAAACAACCATAGTCCCCACGGTTCACTGACATAAACAACCATAGTCCCCGCGGTTTACTGTCATAAACGACCATAGTCCCCGCGGTTTACTGTCATAAACGACCATAGTCCCCATGGTTTACTCTCATAAACAACCAAAGTCATCACTGTTTACTGACATAAACAACCAAAGTCATCATTGTTTACTGACATAAACAACCATAGTCCCCAAGGTTTACTGACATAAACAACCGTAGTCCCCACGGTTGTTTACTGACATAAACAACCATAATGTTTACTGACATAAACAACCAGAATCAACACGGTTTACTCTCATAAACAACAAAAGTCCCTGCGGTTTACTAACATAAACGTCCCCGCGGTTTACTGTCATAAACAACCATAGGCCCCGCGGTTTACTGACATAAACAATCATAGTCCCCGCGGTTTACTGACATAAACAATCATAGTCCCCGCGGTTTACTGTCATAAACGACCATAGTCCCCATGGTTTGCTCTCATAAACAACCAAAGTCATCACTGTTTACTGACATTAACAACAATAGTCCCCACGGTTTACTGACATAAACAACTATTGGCCCCACGGTTTACTGACATAAACAACCATAATCAACACGGTTTACTCTCATAAACAACAATAGTCCCCTCGGTTTACTGTCATAAACAACCATAGGCCCCGCGGTTTACTGACATAAACAACCGTAGTCCCCACTGATTACTGACATAAACAACCATATAAACAACAATAGTCCCCGCGGTTTACTGACATAAACAACGGTTCACTGACATAAACAACCATAATTCCCAAGGTTTACTGTCATAAACAACCATAGTCCCCGCTGTTTACTCTCATAAACAACCATAGTCATCACTGTTTACTGTCATAAACAACCATAGTCCCCGCGGTTTTCTGACATAAACAACCATAGTCCCCGTGGTTTACTGTCATAAAAAACCATAGCCTCGTGGATTACTGTCATTGACAACCATTGTCCCCGTGGTTTACTGACATAAACAACCATAGTCCTCACGGTTCACTGACATAAACAACCATAGTCCCCGCGGTTTACTGTCATAAACGACCATAGTCCCCGCGGTTTACTGTCATAAACGACCAAAGTCCCCATGGTTTACTCTCATAAACAACCAAAGTCATCACTGTTTACTGACATAAACAACCAAAGTCATCACTGTTTACTGACATAAACAACCATAGTCCCCAAGGTTTACTGACATAAACAACCATAGTCCCCGCGGTTTACTGACATAAACAATCATAGTCCCCGCGGTTTACTGACATCAACAACATGGTCCCCGCGGTTAACTGACATAAACAACCATAGTTCCGCGGTTTACTGACATCAACGACCATAGCCTCGCGGTTAACTGTCATAAACAACCATAGTCCCCACGGTTTACTGACAACAACAACCATAGTCCCCACGGTTTACTGACATAGAAACCATAGTCCCCGCGGTTTACTGTCCAAAACAACCATAGTCATCACTGTTTACTGACATTAACAACAATAGTCCCCACGGTTTACTGACATAAACAATCATAGTCCCCACGGTTTACTGTCATAAACAACCAAAGTCCCTGCGGTTTACTCTAATAAACAACAATAGTCCCCGCGGTTTACTGTCATTAACAACCATAGTCCCCACGGTTTACTATCATAAACAAAAAAAGTCCCCGCGGTTTACTGACATAAATAACAATAGTCCCCGCGGCTTACTGTCATAAACAACCATAGTCCCCACGGTTTACTGTCATAAACAACAATACTCCCCGCGGTTTACTGCCATAAACAACCATTGTCCCCACGGTTTACTCTCATAAACAACAATAGTCCCCGCGGTTTACTGACAAAAACAACAATAGTCCCCGCGGCTTACTGTCATAAACAACCATAGTCCCCACGGTTTACTCTCATAAACAACAAAAGTCCCTGCGGTTTACTAACATAAACAACCATAGTCCCCACGGTTTACTGACATAAACAACCATAGCCTCGCGGTTTACTGTCATAAACAACCATAGTCCCCACGGTTTACTGTCATAACCAACCAAAGTCCCCACGGTTTCCTGACATAAACAACCATAGTCCCCACGGTTTACTGTCATAAACAACCAAAGTCCCCACGGTTTACTGACATAAACAACAATAGTCCCTGCGGTTTACTGTCATAAACAACAATAGTCCCCGCGGTTTACTGTCATAAACAACAATAGTCCCCGCGGTTTACTGACATAAACAACCGTAGTCCCCACGGTTTACTGACATAAACAACCATAATCCCAACGGTTTACTGCCATAAACAACCGTAGTCCCCACGGTTTACTGACATAAACAACCATAGTCCCCGCGGTTTACTGTCATAAACAACAATAGTTCCCGCGGTTTACTGACATAAACAACCGTAGTCCCCACGGTTTAATGACATAAACAACCATAGTCCCAACGGTTTACTGAGATAAACAACCATAGTCCCAACGGTTTACTGCCATAAACCACTGGGGAAGAAATAGAAACCATAGTCCCCGCGGTTTACTGTCCAAAACAACCATAGTCATCACTGTTTACTGACATTAACAACAATAGTCCCCACGGTTTACTGACATAAACAACCGTAGTCCCCACGGTTTAATGACATAAACAACCATAGTCCCAACGGTTTACTGCCATAAACAACAATAGTCCCTGCGGTTTACTGTCATAAACAACAATAGTCCCCGCGGTTTACTGACATAAACAACCGTAGTCCCCACGGTTTAATGACATAAACAACCATAGTCCCAACGGTTTACTGCCATAAACCACTGGGGAAGAAATAGAAACCATAGTCCCCGCGGTTTACTGTCCAAAACAACCATAGTCATCACTGTTTACTGACATTAACAACAATAGTCCCCACGGTTTACTGACATAAACAACCCCATAGTCATCACTGTTTACTGACATTAACAACAATAGTCCCCACGGTTTACTGACATAAACACCCATAGTCCCAACGGTTTACCGACATAAACAACCGTAGTCCCCACGGTTTACTTACATAAACAACCATAGTCCCAACGGTTTACCGAAATAAACAACCATAGTCCCTACGGTTTACTGATATAAACAACCATAGTCCCCACGGTTTACTGAAATAAACAACCATAGTCCCCACGGTTTACTGACATAAACACCCATAGTCCCAACGGTTTACCGACATAAACAACCGTAGTCCCCACGGTTTAATGACATAAACAACCATAGTCCCAACGGTTTACTGCCATAAACAACCGTAGTCCCCCCGGTTTACTGACATAAACAACCATAGTCCCAACGGTTTACCGAAATAAACAACCATAGTCCCTACGGTTTACTGATATAAACAACCATAGTCCCCACGGTTTACTGAAATAAACAACCATAGTCCCCACGGTTTACTGACATAAACACCCATAGTCCCAACGGTTTACCGACATAAACAACCGTAGTCCCCACGGTTTACTAACATAAACAACCATAATCCCAACGGTTTACTGCCATAAACAACCGTAGTCCCCCCGGTTTACTGACATAAACAACCATAGTCCCCACGTTTTACTGTCATAAGCAACCATAGTACCCACGGTTCACTGACATAAACAACCATTATAAGTCCCCTCGGTTTACTGTCCTAAACAACCATAGTCCCCGCGTTTTACTGACATAAACAACCATAGTCCCAACAGTTTACTGACATAAACAACCGTAGTCCCCACGGTTTACTTACATAAACAACCATAGTCCCAACGGTTTACTGACATAAACAACCATAGTCCCCACGGTTTACTGTCATAAGCAACCATAGTACCCACGGTTCACTGACATAAACAACCATTATAAGTCCCCGCGGTTTACTGTCCTAAACAACCATAGTCCCCGCGGTTTACTCTCATAAACGACCATAGTACGGCAGCTATTATTTGACCATCTACTTATGAACCTTAATTATAACAAATATATCTTCATATATAAGTTATGTTTCGTTTGTTTTTTTAAACCTGGAGTTAAATTTACACAAACATAGAGTTACTTTTCCTTTACCTGCGGACAATCTTTCTTGAGTCAACATCATCCATGATGCTGACAAGACAATAATCGCTCAGGCTTGTACAGTATTGCAAATCAGATTCGTCGTTTTTACAGTCCGTGTTGTTACAAACTGCGCAAGCTTGACAAGAAAGAGACAAATAAGTGTAAAAGAGTTATAAACATATGTGTATATATCACAATGTATCAAAAGTAAGAAAACTCCATTAGAAATCGACATAGAAAGCCAATAAAACACGACATTTTACTGAACTATATGGCCGTTTTGACTATGCTGGAGTACTCATCGTTGGTGTTAAGGGTCGTACACACATGGACACGCAGCAAATGAAGAACGATGCTGACAAAAATGTGCAAAACACATTTAAAACTGCTGGCTTTAGCAGATATGTTATTTTAAAAATAATACATGTATTTTATGTAAACAGTGGCAGAATTTGGTCTAGCTAGCATGTTACAAGGTATTATATGTGTGTTATAGAGGATGCATATAGGTATAAAATATTCGAACGAAACCTTGATATTTAAGACGTATAAGCAGGTTTCCAATCACTTTCCTTAAAAACGTTAAACCGCTAAACAATATACACGAATTTTTCAACTATGGTTCCTTTTTGTTTAAAAAACAAACACCACTTGCAAAAATACCCTGTTTTTTTACGGTATGAAACAAATCTTACTTACACAAATGCGGGTTTGGTGTTGTCGGTATTGTAGTCTGTCGCGTCGTTAATGTTGACGCCGTTGTTGGTGCTTGTGTTGTCATAGGTTTCGGGGTAGTCGTTATTGGTTTCGGGGAAGTCGTTATTGGTTTTTGTGTTGTCATTGATTTCGGCGTAGTCGTTGTTGGTTTTTGTGTTGTCATTGGTTTCGGGGAAGTCGTTGTTGGTTTCGGGGTAGTCGTTGTTGGTGTATGGGCTGTTGTTGTTGGTTGTTGGATAGTTGTTGTAGGTATTATTTTTGTAGTTGTTGGTTTTTGAGTTGTAGTGGTTAACACTTGGGTAGTCAGTGGTAATTTTGTGGTGATTGCTACTTGAACTGGGGAACATTGCACAGGGTCTGGTCCGAGCTCATTTCTTGGCAGCCGAAGATACTGTGCACACACATTACCCTGGTGATGTTTCAGAACTACAACACGAGTTAGAATCTCACAAAAGATGATCAAATTATGTGAATAATATTCAACCCCATTTAATCAAGATTAAATAAGACATAATAAATTAAAAAAGAAATGTCCTTTCTACTGTTAATACCTATTGTCCATTAATGTCACAGAACAACTTTTTGACAATTGCTCGATGAAACAAACATTTCTTCTATCTCTATCCATACCTGCTGTAATACCTACATTTCTCTTAACTCTTTCAACTTGTATATGAGGAATGTACATGGTATGAAACACTATAAGACTATTTCATGTCAAGTGGTGCAGGGTAGGGAAATTCCACCCGAGGGTCACGTCATTGTTGAGCCTTTGTGACGTCACGCCCATGTAAGATTAATAGAATATATCGCTACTGGTTGTGTAAGATAGAGAAATCTCAACCCGAGGACTAAGATTTTTTGTCCAGAACGAGGCTTGCCGAGTTCTGGACAAAAAAATCTTAGTCCGAGGGTTGAGATTTCTCTATCTTACACAACCAGTAGCGATTGATTATTTTTCTCCCATATCTAACAGTATTTTAATGTGAAATAAAGGTAAACATGGACCCAAAACACATACAGGCAATTTGTTGATGGATTGTTGACGTGACGTCATTGTATTGTTGAAGTGACGTCATGCCATTGTTATGAATAGGGGAATCCCCCCGTCTCAACCCTAGGGCGGAGACAGATAAATCTAGCACCGGCAAAACGGGAGATAAATCTGTCAGGTGTTGGAGAAAGACTCAGCAAGCATGGCTATCCTGCATGGCCAGCGTTATCTTACATGACCGGATATAAGAGAAATAGTTATTTTTTCTATAGTTTGTGTAAAAAAAAGATATTTCTATTATTTTCTATTGACGTTAAACCTACACTCCTCCTGTCTCCTGTTTTTCATTGACCTTAACCAGATTTTTTTTTTTTAATTGCGGTAAAATAAACATTTCTCCTTTAAACAATGGATGTGAAATACACATTTTTCCTCTCTAAATTTGCTTTAAAACGCAAATTTATCTATATCTCTTTAGTGTAACTGCTTTGAAACAAATATTTCTTGTGGCTGTGATTACAAATATCTATTGTTTAACAACTTCTATATGTAACTGCTTCACATATATAACAAGTACTAAAATGTGAAGCCAAAACGTAATCCATAGCTCCTGTAAACATTGACATTTTCCTATCTCCAGGTGGTACTAAAACAAATCCTGTAGCTTATCAAAGTGCATTTTTTCCAATTTATTACTTTCCTATTTATTACTTTCCTATTTATTATTGGTGTAAAAACATATAGTTCTCCAGTGTTTAACTAGGGTTCAATTCAATGACAATTATACACAGAAATCCGCGTTATCGAATATTTATAACGTCATTTTAAAATGGAGAAGATGGCGATTTCAATTTACCTTTTTTGCTTGAGTTGTCTCGCCTGATACGGTACAAATATATACCAAGGTATATTTTTTTAACATTTACAATTACGCATTGAGCTGTGTAAAATAAGGTACATGTATGTGATGTAGAATCGCGAAAACTTCATTTCACAAATAGGGTAAATGTATTCGAAATAAAAGTTTAAATCTTCAGAAACGTTTTATTTTCAGTGGCGAAATACATATGTGTGATGTTTATGTGAATTACAGTGAAGTAACCGGAAAAGGCGATATTAACCGAAACGGAATTGGGGTTGATACTGCTTTTTCAGGTTCGTATAACAATATATTCACTGAAAAAAAAAGTTGAATTATCCTAGCATGTTATAATGTGAAAAACGAATTTGTTATCATTTAAAAAACGAGCGTAAGCAGTTCGTAAGGGAAAAAGAAAAGCATTTGGCAGATAGCATTGTTTCATTACAATTGAAGTGACGTCATGAAGAGAACATGTTTCTCAAAATAGTAACACCGACTCAATTTCACAAACCAGGGACCTCTACCCAAACATGATTCAGCCAGTGAGGATGTTGGAATAAATGGTGTCATCTAACGTATATTGTTGGATATGTTTTGAGATAAGTAAAAGGCATGTGACTTACATGTGTTGATGAGGTACTCCAGCATGTTCAGACACACACTATGGTGATACTGGTTGGTGTATTCGACGCTCAATATAGCCTCATGGAATTCTGTGGACTTGTTACCTGTTGTTAAAATACTTTTATTACAGCTTTTTTCAGAATAACATTTACGTAGATACATACATATATCATGTTTTCCTGAGGTTTTTTTGTATTAGATGGTACATGTATACCTGATATAGAAATATGGTTACAAAGGTGCATGTGGTAGCTGTCAATGACACTTCCAAGACCAAACAAACGCGTGGGATACATGTGGTAGCTGTCAATGACACTTCCAAGACCAAACAAACGCGTGGGATACATGTTATCCTGTCCAGTCCGGTATATGTAGGTCGTGACAACAGTGGTGTGTATTCAGTTAATTGTAAAAGGTTTGTACTTTCCACATTTATGTGTAATAAGTTGAATACGTAGCATATGACAATAGGACCTGAAGAAGCGTAATATGAAAAGGGGAGAAAATCCATGACAAGGCGAAGTGTCACCTATTATATACATTGTATACACAATAATATTGCTAGTATCCCTGTATTTGTATTATATTGTAGTTTTCACTTTAAAGAAAATTATTTTCATTACATAGATTCCAAATCAATTATCGATATGTTATTTAATGAAAACAACCGTTTCAATTACTTTCATTTATAGAGCATGAACAATAACAGTATATAGATATGAAATGCCAGTCTTACCTTTCCAATGTTCGAGTAGGTATCTGTATCCGTTTTCAACATTATCTGTATTATATAATTGAAACAACCCTGATGATTTTCTTTCTCACTGAGCATAATAAGTTTATACTGAGGTCAAGTACATACATAATGAATTACCTTTAGCTGGCATCAACAGGTATGAAAGTTAATATTTACAATACCATTGTTATGACATGGTGTCACTCATGTACTTCTGCAATCGACCTAAACTGTTATTCTTGTATCGTTGAATACAAATTATTCATACTGACAGATCCACAGTTTTGAATTGCATGATTTGTTATTGATTTGTAGAAAATATCCCAAATTATATAATATTCATAATCGGTGTGACTGTTAGTTGGATATTTACAGGGTAAATATGAAACGCTAGTTCCATGGTCACTTATATCATCACAAAAACGTAACGTAAAGCTGTCATTGATACACAACTCTTTAGAGTAGAAAAGTTTCAAGCTTTTGAACAACATTTATTTTATTTGCCAAACAAAGACGACGTTTTCGGAAAAATCCGAATATTGGTTCGATTCACATGCAATACTATGGCACTCTGGTACTCAGAAAGAAAACAATCATAAACAAAATAAGCTATGTATTTTACGCTCACAAGTTTGTATTATATATATAGGATTTTACCAGGCCAAGTTTATTAGTGTAAGTTTTAATTAAATGTACAGATGTAAGTTGAGACTGGAATGGACATGACTGTGTTGTAATGACCTCTATACGGACGTACCGAGAGACACGTGGCGCAGTTCTCTAATCCGAATCCGCAGTAGTTCGGAATCTATAAAACAGAAACAGTAGAGTTATTTACACTTGGGTGTTAACCTTAATATTTCACGTAAAACCGCACTGATACACACTATTAAACCCTTTGCTAACATCATGATCAGTGCGGGTTGCTTGTCGTAATAATATATGTAAAGAGATACATAACGGTAAACATCCGTTTGGACTGTGTATGTGTATGGAATTACAATATACTCACATAAATATTCTCCATCCTTTATCCACTTGTTTGTTATAGAAAGAACATCTGAAATCAAACCAAAACACATTATATCCATCAGCATTATACCCTAAGCAACCTCAAAATACTAGCGTCACTATCAAAAGAGTATGTACACGCGTCAGTTCTGTGACTCTAACGTTAAGCCAAATGCGTTTTTTTATCTTGAATTGTTTTCTGTTCCACTTTGTTACAGGTTGGTTACATGTGATATTTTGATTTTTAAGTTACAATAATCTACCACATTAACAGGACCAGTGTATGGTATGTATACTATATATTGATGATAATCATTGTAGCTGAAAACATTTTACCTTCGAACTCTGACAGATAACTACACTCGTCAGGCAAAACACTCTCTGCAAGAAGAAAAATATTGATGGATTAACCTTGACTTTCGCCCTGATATATTGATTAAGTCGCATTTTTTTTATAACCCATTAAAAACCTGTTGGATATAATGGTCAGCAAGATGTCAAAATAAGCTTTATGCATAAAATGTTAAAATGGTGATGATCTTGGTTTTTAAAAGAAACATAATTCGAATACGAAAAATTCCGTGTTATCATTGGTTAAGTCACAGTCAATACGAACATCCTTCAGATCACGTGAGCATAACCACATACTGCTAACAGATTTTGGTCAATATCTCTTCATGCTCGACTTTGATATCAGAGAAGTACATTTGCGACGCCGTGGATTTTTATGAAATGTGAAATGTATAATAAAAATAGTTTCGACATAAATTATTTAACATTGCAGACAAAACATAATACATTATTGTAATAATAAAAATAATAATGACCTTAATTTATTGAGGATAAAATACATGTTTAGCCAAAGATTAATCGTCCACATACTCCTCTTGTTGGTAAAATACATGTGTTAGATAAAATAACATATTTACCCAATCGATATATAAATAAACATGGTTATCTTGCTAAAAAAATGCATGTGCTAGTTAAAAGTTACATGTATATTGGTGCAATCGACATATATAAGATTATATCACAGTTATCTTATCAAGAGTATCACAGATTGCATACAGTTTCATGCAAACGTATTTCATCAATTAAATGGCATGTGCCTAAATTACATACATGCTAATATAACAAAACAATAAAATTAACATAGTTATACGCTAATATAGCATAATCTAAAATATTGATAAAATTCAGATAAGAGGTCTATTTAGAAAGTAAGATCTCGTTTGAAAGTGGTGAAATCGTTATCTTTAATATTCAGGCATTCTGATCATATTGGATTACAAATGAAGATATGAGGTTTTTTTGGGTTTTTTTTGTATGTGTTTTTTTTTTAGGATACATTAATACAATAACAAGGTTATCTCGCATAAATAATATAAAAAAACGAACACGACTTCATGTACAACATAACCTACCAAGAGTTGTCCCACCCTGTGGTCCGAACAGAAACCTCCTTCGATGTCCATCAGAGACAACTGTAAAAACAAACGACTGTGCTTAGCATGTAAGATCGCCATATAAAGTATCTACGTACATTGCGGACACGTGTTGATGTTATCCACAGAGGTGGTTGGACAGTTCGACTATAACGTATACATATCATTATGTAATATTTACATTCTGTATGCTTAGACCCATTGACAAAAAAACATTCATAAATGCATAACACAGGTGTTCATAGAATCTCAGCACGTGGGAACTGATAGTAACCTGATCACACTGCGTAGTATACACTACAAAAACTACTCACTCGTAACGACCGACCTAGATGCTTAATTCTTACATCTTAAAATATTATTGAACTGTGCTTTGTGAAATATCCACGTGTTCACGTGTCCTGTGCTACAAATAAACATTGAATATGGTACTACATTTTGTTGTGTTATTGTTGTTGACGGTTGCTAAGATCTCTCACGATAGTGTCACATTTCCCCGCGAAAAAACACTGTTCTCGCCACTGCGTTGTACCCGTGTATAAGCAGGAACAAACCCTGTTTATTTGTTTTATTCGTTGTTATATCGATCCACTGAAAGGATTCGTCAATGTAAATATAAGGAATGATATTTATTTTTTCAACATTTATGAGGGCATAACAACAATGGGTTTATGGACATATTGAATGAATTGCGTTAGCGATTCATGTAAAACATGTCCAAAAACCCATTGTTGTTATGACCTCATAAATGTTGAAAAAATAAAAATCATTCCTTAAATAACCTTTTCTTACATGGTTTTACGTATAATGTAATACATTTGACTGATGTATACGAACGCTGTGTTTTAAATGGCATACTTACGTATCACTTAGTTTATATTTTTAATATATTACGTGTATCAAGTTAAGTTCAATAATCTTTCAATGTTATACCTGCCACGTGACATAACGGGAACAGCGCCATCCATAATGTAAATACAGACTATAAAATATAGATAACGTATTTGAAATTGTCAAAATGTTAAAACATAAAAAAAATGTTTTACGTACCAGCCAAGGTTAGTACAAGGGCGGATAGTCCGATCAACATGATGTCACCAGCCATGAAAGGGCAACACGTAAGGTCACCAAGTCTTATCTCTGGTCATGTCTATCAGTACGAGCACTCTAACTAACTGTCTACTTATGTAAATGTAAATATACAACATTATATATAGCACCAATTATAATTTACAAACTTACTCTATTATCAAAACATGCAATCCCCTGTTCCTATTAGAAAATGGATACATATATGCATACAAATCCAACGTAGATGGAAATAAAAGCTCAGAAAAGTCAATCGCTTACTTATAACATTTTATTCAACAACCATAACATCCTGTACAGAATACTGAAATCGGTTTCATGTTTTATACATGTACATGTACCTCTATAACACAAATAACAGGGTGTGTTGTGTCTGTGATCTTTGATTTGATGCTGATAGTGAAATTAATGGAGTATTTTATCTTCCTTTTTCTATTTATATAGTCTTCTGAACATTCTGCTCTGCTCAGACTATTTTCATTTCATTTAAATTGCAAAAATGTGAACTAGCAATATTTAACTCTATTTCCATCTTGTGAAAATTCAGCTCTGCTCAGACTATTTTCATTTCATTTAAACTTCAAAATTGTGAATTAAAAATATTTAACTCCATTTTCAATTCTATACATTACTATTTACATACAGTTTATTTTAATAGCCTCATTATTAAATTGTTTGACGACTTGACGAAATGCTGTCCCTAAATATATCGTTTATTTGTCACAGCTAATCTAGAGTATGAGTTATTATATATTTGACAGAAGCGTCCCATTGACCCATGAGTTATTGGGTAGTATTTCTACAAGAAGGATTTCAATTTCCCTTGAAACGTTTCTAATCAATCTCCTGACTTGACTAACATTCTTTTCTTAGTTAAAAAAACCGCGTTCAATTGGGGAACATCTGGTTCGACCTCCATATTTGTAAGGTTAGTTATGTTTCTCCTTCTATTTCGGTGTCTCGGATTTAACTTCTATGTTTGTCTCGCTAGGTTGATGATTTGTATTTATTTTCCTTGTGTGTTGATGCTGTTCTCAATTGCATCCTTGCTCTTTGTCGTTGATGAATACTTTGATCGTATGTGCTGACGCTGTAACTCATTCTTTGTGCTGATACTGCTACAATTCATGTTTTCCTGCCTTCTAGACGTTGATGAATACTTGGTCCTTTTGTAAGCTGCAATAATTTAGTTCTAGTGCGTTGATGCTCTGCTATCTTTGTCCTTTTCTCATGTCTTTTATCTTGTCGTTATGTGTTAGTGATGTGCTTTATGTCTGTGTGTCAAGGCTTAAGTATTTATTATCCCTATGTGTTGACTATAGAGTGCATGTTTTCTTACCTGTTACTACAGTAAAATATGCCGTCGTTGTACGATTACGTTATTTTTGTGTATGCATACATATCTTGTCAGTTTATAAAGGTTCCTGTGTATATAGAGATGTTTATGTTAAGTATCAACCTTTTTAATATGTGTACGTAAGCTAATACACTTTGACCTTAAACATTGATGCAAGAATAAAAATACTGAAGAAAATATTTCGTGTTCCATAGTTTACAATAGCTAATAATGAATGTCAATAAATCGATTGTTTTACGTATGCAACAATACATTGTTAGGACAGCTGATAATTTAAAAAATAATAATAAACAGTGCATATTAAATACCGATTTGAAAAGCGAAACCGCTAAAGCAACATCGATGTCCAGTGTAGACAGGGTCCCAATTAGAAAGTGTTGACAAACTGCAACATAGGAATACAAAATGCCACGACCTTATATCAAAACCAAAAAAGGCAGGGTTATTTGGTAGTGACCAATCTAGACAAATTAAAGTATGTATCTGTTTTCATGTGAGTTGGCATTGTTATTTATATTTTCGTTGTGTGTTGACGCTGTTGTAACCTTGTCCCTGTGTAGTGACAATGTGATTTATTTCGTACCTGTGTGTTGATGCTGTGCTATATTTTGTCCTTGAATGTTGACACTGTGGTATTTAGAAATATTAAATATAATAAAATTTTGAATTTCTGATCTAACTTTGTGTAACCATTGGAATAGCATTCTACCTATGCAAATCTGAAAACGACATAAACAGGGTTTTATCTCTCCGGGTTTTGTGAAAACACTTGTCCTTTTAACCTTTGTCCGTGTGTTCTTTGTGTCGACCAGAATGCGTTCATTACCAGAGCGCCGGTGATTATGGGTACCGCCTCGGTCTCACTACACTTGGTACACATATTCAATACCTTCGATATACCTATTTGCTTGTCACAACATTATATTCAGCACATAGAATTAAGCGTTCACATTTGTAGATGGGATGAAAGGCAGACTTTCTATGTAAATTGAATTTACTTTATGCTATACAGCCTGCCAATCCAGTACACGTTGAATTAAGTTATGAATATACCTGTAAGAAGGACAGGTAAATAAAAATGAACGTACCACTCGCACAGAGACTGCAGTTTCACTGTAAAATCATTAAAGGTAGCCCCCACACGTAAAACGTATGGTCGATATTACGGTATTGAGAAATAGTGTCAGCTTTCGCCTGTTTACCTTCATAGCCATTGTGCCATTGTGCAATTGTTTAGCATGGTCGTAAACATGGCGGACTCCTTTTGGATTAGCAAGTATTTTGGACTGTTAGTGATGTTCACCAACTCCATGTTTCAAGGTAAAACACACATTTATCATTGCCATCATAATCGATACTTTTAAACGCGAGAAAGACAAATTGACTTAAAGGAATAGACTAAGACATTGACAGTATAGCAACTGATATTGTGCACAGTGTGTATATCAAGTTGTATACATTGTACATGTCAGACATTATAATACCAAATGTCACAGCATTGAAATGTAAATGTATTGATTATATGTCTACTGTTTGATGGCAAAAATAAAATGTAAATGTTTTGTTACAAATAGTTACAATGTCTTTTTTTCCTCAGTAAAAGCAGCTTGCACGTTTCCAACCGATTTTCAAAACACGTGGACTACGAATTCAAGAGGAACATGGACGGCCAACAGTTCCCATATCAGCAACTTCCAGACCACTATGACAACTTCCGGTAACACCCTGTATACAATGGGCTGCCATGAGGCCTACAATAGTTTCTATGTACTGAAGTAAGTTCCTTACTTTATATACCATAACAGCATTAATCCTGGCAACTCAGAAATTAATTTGAGTGTCTGATAGAATAATATCAAAGTGATTGCATTAAATATCATGTTATTTAATTCTATCTTTTTGGCTGGTTGCATTTGGTCAAATGACCCTCATGGTTTTTACATATTCAGCTAATGGGAAAACGCCTCACTTTTAGCCCACACTAAACCCGTTGATATGTTTATATGGAAACCTCAAGATTGAATACTGCTAGTTTAATCAAATTGCTGAGATGATTGATTATATACGTCACCAATAACCAATATATTATATATTTGATGCGTAAACGAACATTTTATTTGCGGAAACATATTAAGCTAAGTTCAATATATTTTCCTAGGTCAGAAGAACTATTTAACACCACACAGAACGTCTACACGTGTTTATATATCGGGAAGCAGTCCTCTTCTAAGTACACATATTCCCTCCTCACAAGTAAGTAGCCAAGCACCAAATCCACTGGATTAGATTTCTATTACTGTTGAACCTTAAAGAACATATTGGATATATGACGTAATCCTGATCTTTACCTGGCAGTTTACGTAAAGAGATTATTTCTCCTCTATACGATCATAAAAAATCTGAGTTTTCGTTTAACGTTGGAACGTTTTAGCTATCATTTTATCAATTATTGTTTCAGTATTTAATGTTGATTAAACTCTAAACTCTCATTCTGACCACGGCAAATTATGATAGGTGTTGTTTTCCTCAGCATATGTGAACAATTTATATACAGATATGTCGCAGTTGATGAATATCCAATAAGTCTAAGTTCATACAGCGGTATTATAAATATGTATTATTCAGCGCTTCAAACCGTCTCGACGAGTGTGACCGAACGGGTCACCACTTCCGATTCAGCACTGACAGGCAGTGCCGTCTGCGATGATACGGAATACACGACATCCGGGGAGAGAACCTACATTGCTTTGTTGTCAGGTTTGAAACTGCATGCATTTCATGTTGTGTTTCCAATTTAGAAATAACAAAAGAGGGGTTCCAATTAGGGCCTTTTGGTAGCTATCACCGATAAAGTAGTTCATTGTATATACATAGCTTGTTTCATGAAATTAAGGTCAGCTTTGAGACCTTTCCGAGTTGTGAGGTAGTAAAAGTGGTGACCCAAAATCACAATCGACCTCTTTGTGACATAACTACATATTATTTTTGAAAGTTTCTTTATAATTGTTATTTATTGTGTGACACTAAAGCTGCAAGTAATAACAAATGGCTGAACAAAGTAGCACATAATTGATAAAAGGCTCATTGTGATCTGTTGATATATTGGCTTAATTATGTCAACAATTGTTCATCTTTTCTGTCTAAATACATATTAGACCCATTCAATAATCTTACCAAGTTGTATTTATAAGTATCTTAACCACATCTTTACAAAAAATAACCAGATAGCCACCAGAAAGCCCAAATTGGCACCCCTTCTTTAGTTTCGTTAAAAGCAAAATGGTATTAAGATTATATATAGGTATTCCCTCTGATATAAAAGTTTTTATAAAAAAAAGGAATACAAATATGCACAGCAGCACCTACCGTCTACATGTTGTCAATCATCTCAATTTATAAAATTACTGTTCAATGTATGTAAAAATGAAATGTAATTCTTTTATTTCTGTAGTGTTGAACTACGTATACCCTAACCTCTTCAAAGGCTGGTATTTAAAATATTTATTTACGTGATATTTTCCTAAATACTAACGTTATCATTGTCTGTGGAAGGTCTCTAGTTTTACCGAATGTTGGATCAACTTTGCCTGCGATGATTATTATTTTGACGTCACATTAACGATGACGTGATAGAAGCCTAGCAGGTAACAACATTCAGGTAACTTCTCGTTTGACCGTTTTGTGGTATTTTTTTTCTAAATAATCGCCAGGTTTTGATGCGTCGTACATTATATCCTTACTCTAAGGAACTATGTTGGAATAGCCGCTGAAAAGTACATAAATATCATTCAATGCAGGTTCGGAGTCCCAGGATAAGACAACCTGTCCTGAAGTACTACAGAGTACGTTCACGTACATAGGCACGACCTGTAATAGCACATACCTGGACGTCTGTACCGACACGGGCACCCTCACGTTTAATACGGACACCTGTTCTCAGTCCATGATGTTCTCACGTAAGTAACTAGTGGTGAACTGTATTAGTCCCATTTCTTTTTCTTATAAAAACTGACGAGTATCATGTCCAACACTCACCAAAAAGACACAAGATTGTCGTCTGATCTTGTCATATTGCGTTGATATGTTGACATGTCCTCTATGACTTTTTAAAGACTTGATTCGCTGATATTGTATTGTTTGATAAGAAAGTGATATTTTGTGAAAATTAAATCATACCTGTATTATTTTGTTTTGATCAAGCGATATGCTTTTATGTTTTGATGATGTCATAGAATGTTGCCATGTTTTGTTACTCCAGCCATGTGGTGTCATTTGTAATATGTGTTACAAGTCGAAGTTCTGACATAGTATCTATGTGTGTAAAGTAAATCAGTTAGTCAGTGAGATAAAATTAAATGTAATAAGTACAATTTTATGAGTTTTACAAGAGTACGCATACAATAGTCACGTTAACAAGTTCACAGTTTGTGTGTAGATGAGACAATGTGTGCATTTAACAGCTTTTAGGTATTTCACTGTAATTGTGATACTATTGTTGCTGTAGAGAACGGGACTCTGTATTGTGTGAACGACGTCACGACAGGCGGGTACTACTACGTCACACTATATAACAATGACCCCTCCACCCCAGACGGTGTCACGTACTTTCAGTTCTCATGTCTGGTAAGTCACTCCAATGAATTAGCCCCGGATCTTTTACAACCTGTCCAATACATTAAAAACATAGAAATCGATCTGTATTTGCTTTTTTAATTTTTTCGATCGTCAAGTGTCCCTATCATTTTTATCCCCAACACTAGTACAGGTTTCCTCACTCCCAAATCATTTGATTTACCTACTTAATGTTGGTTAACATTTCTGGTTACCCACTAGTGTATGTTATTACTTGGACGTGATTTCATTAGTCAATCTTCTAATGGTGACGTAAAGTGACAAAGCTTTGCAACGTCATCTTCCATTGTCACATCGTATTACATTTTTACCAATGAAATATTGAAAATTATTCATTCTAAAAAAGTGTGGCTAATAGTTTGATATCTCGTGCTGCGCACTCGTGAAAGATCTCAAAATATTAGCCTCTTTCGTGAAATACATTTGGTATTGTTACTGAAGATACTGTTAGATATCCTCCATCTATTTGATAGTTTTCCCTACCAGAAACAGGAACAATGTATTTCCAATAGAAACATTAGTTTTTCTAGATATAATATCTTAACTTTGACGGAGAAAAATACCCAAAAAAATGATGGCTGATAATCTTGTTTATCTAGCTCTCGATATTAATTTTTAAAATGTTAGACACTCAATAAAACTCGCGTCTTATACAGTTTGAATATTCTCTAACTCGGGTAAGATAAACATTATTACTTGTACCAACCATCACTCGTAGAGGAACTGCTATATAACTTACATTTATACCTCAGTAAATGAGTATCTTTCTCTACAGGTGCTGTTCAGCACCGATACGTATGTCCTGGTGAGCGTCAGCCCTATGGAATGTGCGTCCGGACAGACCCCTCTAATAGCGCCCTCTGGTGGTTACATCACGGCACTACAGAACGACCAAGCCTGTAAGTTTTATACGTTACATACTTACTTAATAGATAGGTAATAACACGGACTTAGATATCTAATTTAACTCCATTGTAATACATTGTAATTAAGTGTTTGGGTATATGAAATACAGACTTAATATGGAATCTATGTACTGTACATTCTAATTTAGTGTGTAAGTGCGAGATATTCTGTGTTAGTGTTCATTTATATGACAAATTAACTTTTTGTGTAAGTTTATAAAAATAACAAGTCGAATCAATTAAATAAAAAAATATTGTAATATAATTATACATTTGGAATAAAATAAAGTTAAATCTTAACGCATTTTGTATCAAAAGACATCTTTTATATTCATTCATGTTTCATTTTTAGGGAGCTATTTCATATATAAATTCAACTGTTATATTTTCTTCTTTCTAGCAAGCTGTTGTAAGTATACATTAATTACTTTCCCTAATAGTATTGCAGCGACAGCTTTGTAAAATAACATTGATAGAAAATAAATATTAACTGATCATTAAAAGTAGTCATGTTTTGGATGAATTGATGTTTCTTTTTCTTTCTTTTTTTATTCTGAGGTTCTTGTTAGTTTTACGTGTGTAACTTGCTACGATCTAATAATCATACAATACTTAATGTAATATCATTTTGTTGTCTATGTCGTGCAAATGTTTCGTGACAGACACAGCACCTGCTACAGAAGAAAGCATCAAAACAACTTTGATCATTCTGGCTGTGGTGCTGGGAGTTATCTGTTTGATCCTCACAGTTGCCGTCATTGTCTGCATTTACAAATACAACCGAATCAGGGAGAGGAGAAGAACAGGCAGACTCATTCACTGAAAACAACACCCTTCCCTATGTAAATAACAACCGAATCAGGGAGAGGAGAAGAACAGGCAGACTCATGCACTGAAAACAACACCCTTCCCTATGTAAATAACAACCAAATCAGGGAGAGGAGAAGAACAGGCAGACGCATTCACTGAAAACAACACCCTTCCCTATGTAAATAGCAAGTGGATGCACCTCCATTTTTATCCGCTGTTTAATGTGAACTAAACATTTTCTGATTTTTGTATTCAGAGCCTTGAAAGAATTATGATTTTATGAAATATTGCAGCAATCAGTTCAAAGCTAGACTTGAATTAATCGGTTTCAAAATGTGAGATGATAGACAGAAAACAGGTTAACTTCTAGTTCGTGAGCTGCTCTATTTGAGGTTCCAAATTAATCCCTAAGCTTTCTTGCAGTGTCTTCCTTTCAGTCAATACTGCATACTCGGATAATTACTATTGGCGTCGTGACAATCACTGTTCATAATCTTAAGTTTTGTATATTCAAATCATTCACAATCAATGTCTTTAAATCTGTGCCCAGTGTATCTAACTTCCCTTAGATATGACATGAGAAATATAATACAATTTATTTATCGTAATTATTATGTGTGTTTTGTCTTTTTCAATATTTAATAAAGCATCTTTTCAGTACTATACTTATTCTTATGATTTTGACTTATGAAGAACGGGTAATCTAAAGACACAATATATACAATGTTCGTGTATATATGCTTTGCGAAATACATACACAGATGTAACAAAAAAGACAAATGGAATGGTTTGGCAGTATCGTTTATCTAGCGTTGGACATATTAAGTTTCTTTATTTAAATCAATGTGTCATTATCGATACATGAATACAAAGTGTCAATGATAAATAGAAAATGTTTCAAGATGAACGTTTGACACGCGCAGGTTATCAAATCGTTAGCATTTGGTAATAAATACAGCATATCATATATGAATAACGCTTCAACATACAACTGGTTCTTTCTTCTAGGACTCATCAGTGATGCCCCGGGGCCAAAAGGGTTCAAATCCAAAATTGGTCTTAACTTATGCTAAAAACAAGTAAACAGCACTTAAATTAGTTAATTTTATAAATAAAAGGAGGTACGTGTATTCGTTAATTTAAAATGAACAAATGATTAGAATGATATATTATGAACCGTGTCACTACCACGAAAAATTACTGTGGCTATCAAGTTATGGCAAACCTCGGGCACAAAGAAATCTACCAAAGGAGTTTCTTTCATGAACAAATGCACAAAAGAAAAACACATGCAAAGGCAACTCTACGATCGATGACGACTTTAAACCTTAATAAACTTAAATTATCTGCATCTTTGGAACCTCTGTGTTGTCAGTTCTTCCGTAAGAATCGACATCTATTTCGGAAGTCATGAAATTCGGAACTAGCTCTTGAATACCGAATCAACTATGGTATGTAATTACCCTAGATTAGCATAGGGGATCAGAGTTTTACTATCAAGAAAGGGAAAGTTCACGATCTGAAAATCAAAATCGTTCTGTTAAGCGTTTATTTGTTTCAAGAGACAACTGTGCGTTTGCTTACATTTGTTAGTCCAAACCATGAAAATGAACTCTTTTATTACTATTGGACCTATTTATGGTCAATGCCACTTCCGTTATTTAGTAGTTGATCATTTAATGTTGATAAACAATATCTTTTACAATAATAATTTTGACAGTCCTGTAATAACAAATACTTGTAACAAACCGATAGTAAATATAACTGGACCCTTAAAACACTCTTAACCTGAAATTTAGATCAATCAGAAAACAACACTGTCTTATTGGATTGATGGGCATGTTATGTCGGCGCAAAATTCTTGCTTCCTTTTTGTCCGACGTATTTAAAGTCTCGTACGTTATGAATCTGCTTCTGAAGGTAAGCATTTGTTAAGCGCTAGATCGACGTATCTCCTAATATCTCCACAGTCAGCCATTGTAATCCATAATCCCCAACCGGTAAACATTGCAATTATGGACAGTTTTTATTTTACAGTTGTAAAATCTGCTCACATCTGACATTAACCAAACGTACGTGCAGTCCGAAGTGAACAGTGATCTGTTATTTTGCGATATACATGTAGTTATCTGCATATCAAATGGTAACTATAGATATAATAGTATGGGACGTATGCCCCAGACAGACTTGGTCGGAAGCCTTAATACAGATGGACGGAAAGCACACCTACAGTTACATCCCGTTATACCACTGGAAGAATGACACATCTAAAGAGCTGGCGAAGTGTACTAGATTTCTAAATTAAAAAAAAAAAATGTTCGGTATTCAAGTGTCAGAGCAACACAATTGGCAGGTACATGTTAAGTTCGATAAGTAATAACCTGACACCATACAGCTATCATTTCGTTTTATTCGGTAACGCGGACACTTAGATAAATACTGAGGATGGAAGTTGATATACTATTCATATGTAAATGTAACAAGGAGATGAATATAGACACTCTAAACATTCACAAAAGGATATAGAGCTGCGTAGAAATATTGACACCCTGTATGACAAACAATATAAATCTGTAGACACCAATAAACGTCCGTGATACTCTGCAATCACTCCCAATAATAATCATTAACTGGTTATAGTTGTCAATGTCCTTTATAACTTCAAACATTTGATTTACTAGTTCCATAATGACAATATGAAGTGGATTTAACGATTTTTTCATTCGTTCTTTGTGATAGAATCCAATTTAATTATTTACTTCGACATTGGTACCTATATTTGATTATTAAATGGAAATAACAATAACTCTATATGAGTTAATCATTCATCACTTCATAAACCTCTTCCTGCTGGTAGTTTGTTAGCTTTACCAAATAATCATCATTCTACAAATACCAGCGGCATATCTGACAACATCACCAACCACAATATCACTTTACAAACCGGTAATAGTCGCTGGTCAGACAGTGTTTTTAAATGAAACAAACCCTTACATACCTTATTAGCCGCTAATTAAACAGCAATATTCAAATGAAACATCCCCTTACAAACCTTAATATCCGCTAATTAAACAGCATACTCCAAAAAAACATCCCCTTACAAACCTTAATAGTCGCTAATGAAACAGCTTACTCCAAAAAAACATCACCTTACAAACCTTAATAGTCGCTAATTAAACAGCAAACTCAAAATAAACATCCCCTTACATACCTTAATAGCCGCTAATTAAACAGCATACTCAAATAAAACATCCCCTTACATACTTTAATAGTCGCTAATTAAACAGCAAACTCAAATAAAACATATAAATTATATCTGACTGTATTACCGATTTTTTTTTTTTACCGTAAACCTGTACTATCTGATGTTTTTTTACAATACAAATTCATTATCAAATAAAACACCACAATCCCCCATTGCCTCCTTGTGTGACCAAATATATTCTAACTTAAAAAAACACACTTTATTTTGACAAAAATATCACTTCTCTTTTACTCGGTTTCTTGATGATATTTATTTCAACAATCGATATGCGATACAATATACTGGTAAGTTAGGTTACACTCCAATGTGTTACTCACGTGGTCTAGTTTTCTTGTTCATGTTTCAGAGAGACTACAGCATACGACTCAGTGTTGACGTCAATATCTTTTTTCTGATTTTGTTTACATATATCTAGAAAAATATAATAATTGATACAGAAATCGTTCGTATTCTTTATAAAGGCTGAAGTATCGTTTTAGGTGCTCTATTACAGAGCATTTTTGTATTGGAAATAATTAGTAATCAATTAACAAGCAACAGCTTCACGTTGTGCTCAATCCACCTAACGGTAATAACACAGCTATACAGCAACACCATTTATGATTTATACATAATATGTAAAAGGGTCGGAAATTTTGCTGTTTCAACTAGTTTTCAATAACTATTTTGTCCAATTATGAATCTTTCATTTGTATGTAGTATATAATGATTATTAAGAAGTTAAGACAGTAACTCAATTATTTTATTGGCCCTGACTGCCCTATTGGACACACTGAAATTATCTACATACAAAATAGAGGTCATCTCCCTTGTGACGATACAATATGTCCATGAACTTGCTTATAGCCTATAAGCCATGTCGACAAAGGAGAGCTTGTTTCCCCCGCTCAATTATTTCATTATAATATACCATACAGAAGTATGCATTGAGTGTAAATGTCGGTTAGTGGCTTTATGTGGACACACTGCTTCTTTTTCACCCGCATTGATTGTGTCCTTGTCTCTGGAACTGTTCATTATATATATATCACACCGGACGTGACGCATCCGGACCCGTTAGGAGAGGCCATTGTGCCAAATTTCTGGACAATTATGTGGCTAGAAGTATCGATATTGATTTCTTAACATTACCAGACAGTATTGTTTGACAATTCAAAGGAGTATTGAGGAACTTCAGTTTGGTTCTAGTTTTTTATTTTATCATAAAACCGTTATAGGGATTTGTAAATCGTTTGATTGATTTAACAGGTTAGTAATTATACATCGACAACAAACTGCCTACTACCGATGTTACATCGATATGGGAACTCCAGCAACCCATACCGAGTAACAAACAGGAACTCGTAGTCCGTTACTAATCGTTCCACTTAATTAACGGAAACATGAAAAAGTTTTTAAATTTCAAATTCACCTTTAGTATTGTTCTGTACGTATTAATCCGCTCTCCTGACCAGGCTTTGGAGCGTTAAACAAAACCAATAAAAGATTATGATACTAATCACTCCTACACCATACTAGTAACACTGCTAGCGATTCATTTCACAATTAGAAAAGGTGAGAGTTTAAATGTCCACGACAACTCGGCGTGAGATGTGTATTGGTGCGGTGGCCGTTTCGTTTCTGTTCGTTTTAATGTGAACGCAGGTAAGGACGGATCTTTCTTAGACAAGCTGCCAACTCCGTAAACTACGGCTGTAGGCAGACCGCCAGCTTCTCACAACCAATCCAGGGAGTCCCATTCTAGTGCTCTCTTACATACAGTATATGGTTTTACCTGTCGTAGACCTTAGAGTTTAACTTCACCCGTCCACAGGGGTATTATGCAGTCTCTATAGTGATACGTCACCTGTGGTGAACTATTTATAGAACCACGCGAGGAGCGCGAGCCTGTCGTGATACGACATACGCAAATCATGACTTAAGAGAAGACGTATTCGTTTGATTCTAAATAAGATATATTTTATTCAAATTTTGATGTTCCTCTGACAGAAAAAAAAATGACAATGTGGACAGGGATTTCTTTATCCTGCTTCATCTTATGGATCCTTCGATCGGCACATTATGTTGGTGAGTATGATTTTTTTATACACAAATATGTATACATTAAAAATCTTCTATCAAATTGTGTGTCCCCCATTTTTCCAATTTTCGCTTGTGAGTACATACTTGTTATCTCTGCATTTCCATCTAAAGACAATTGATTCCGGAATGTGTGTAGCACTGCATGACCGATTGTTATTTATTTGCACATATCCTAATACAACCAGACAGTAGTATTAATACTCATCACTCTCTTTCTCTGTCGACATGTTTCTACAATCAACCTTATATTCCACTCAATTCATTTCAAATGATACTAAACTAAGTTATAATGTCATTCGCCGGGCACGTTACCCGGTATTCCTCATTGACGTGTGTAGTATGTCTATTGCACATTCAAACTACTAAAGAATAATACTTGATTGAGAAATGTTACCCTCCTTTTTCTAATATTTTATTACCTCCAGTAAAGGTTACCGTATCGGGAACTTAATAACGTTGCTGCCTAGTTAATCCTTAAACCGATCTTGTTTCCTGTCGTATGGTAATCACAAAACTGTATTGCTGTAGTAGGGCAATCATTGTATTCCTGTAGTAGGGCAAGCACTGTATTCCTGTAGTAGGGCAATCATTGAAACATGTTGAAGTAAGATGAGATATCCCTTATACAATATTATATATTACTTTGGCATGTTATGTTATTATAATTGATGTGTCCGTATTATATGCTTTTGAATGATGTTTGAAGTTCATTAGTAAAGAGTCCAAAATAATAACCTTGTTTGCTTTGTTTGGCTTCCTGTATCTACGGCCATTCGGTAATATGTTGTCACATTTCCATTTAAAGTTAGCATCGCATTACTTTGCTGTTGGACACAGGTACTGAAATATTATTTTCAAAATAAACTATGTTATTTCGTTTATACTCAGACAACGGAAAATAGGAGATGCAGACTTTTTAGAGAGTAAAACATTTTTTTGCTTATTCCAATAAGTGTTGCAGAAAGGTACACTGTATCATAATATCAAATAAGCGTCATGATGTATAATCAAAAGGTCATTGGATCGATTCTTCTTGTTTGTGAAAAGGAATTTTATTTTCGTTCTTAACTCTTTTCCGTTTTAAATGGACGAACAACTCTAAGTTGGATAGTCATAAGGACAATTTTCTTTTGTTTGTTGGAGTTAAAAGCAGATAATATGTCTATCTGCCTTGTGTTTTTGTATTTCTATGTGATCTTACCTAACGCTTATATTTAAATGTGTATTTTATGTTCGAACTTATGAGTATAATTAAACGAGATGTTTGTGTTTTTGTTGGTAGTCGGTTGGGCTATGCGTCTTTCTGAACAAGGTTAGGTAATAAATGCATTACTACCATGTACATATATGTACTTCAATTAAGTAAGATATTTTCATTGCGGTTTTTTCCAAAAAAAAACATCTGTTTGAGTTTGAATTGCATTCTCTCTCTTCTACCGGGTATTTATTAAATTAATGCGAATATCACTCATACATTTCATGCCCATACTACTCCTGGGAACTTATACTACCTATAGGCGATGTTATAACTTTAAATTGCATTAACGTACTGATAGCAATTTGAAGTCCAGTCTTCAACACATTTCGAATATGTATACTACATGGTACAAGGAAGTAGAGACATTAATGTATTTGTGTTGTATGAGTATGCTAGCAGGTCTAAATAATTACCATATGTATGAACAAATTGATGGAAGGTCTAAACATTTATTACATGTATGAATACTTTGATACTATTCCAATTCAAAAATTCAAAACATACTAATAAGTCATTTTTAATTCCTCTTATTGAACTCGGGAGGGGNTGTATTTCAATATATACTTTGAAACAGTCCTAAATGAACAAAACAGTTAACATATTTTCTTTGTTTGGCCTTCTTCGTCACCTTTCCTAATTCGTAATGAATATCTTATTACTTTCCAAATTAGTAATGTATATAAAAAATGTATTTTTACATGAAGTTGTAGTGATATGTTTCTACCTAGTACAAGAGATCTGTGCCGTTTCTATGAACAGTGAGAGGGTTTTAGAAAGATAAGATAATGCTCACAATGACATAAGTATAATGATACAATATCATAATTTCTTATATTTCGACCAAGACTGATCAACTGTGACCTCTCTCTGTATTCAGATAAGATAAGGTCAAATGGTACTACCCGTAAAGGTAGTCGACGACCCGAAATAAGTCGAGGTAGATCACAGGTGAATAAATCAGACTGTTGACCGCTAATCCGGTACAATAAAACCTCATTATTCTAAGCTTACCATGAAAGGCGTGTGTAATAATGTTTATTCAAATAAACTGTATCAACACGTTAATCTTATCAGCATAATAAGCTTGCATATATTAGTTGATTATGTACACTTGTATATGTGATCTTACTATTAGACTATGCACAATCATATTTGAAATGCCATGTTTAATCCGTTCTAAAGAAACCTATCCCTTACCAAACCCTCTAGTTTTTTATGAATAATATTGATACATATACACATTTTGAAATCCTTACGATATTTAATTTTTAATTTGTATATACGCGTGGAAGCCTATTGAACCATAAAATTTGCGTAGTATTTGTCTGTTTATCGTAAGTGTTCACTGCCAGTGATGATTTTCATTGATCACATCTCGTCAATTTATGTGTCACCTATATACCCCCTATAGGACATAAGAACGGCATACACTCAGTTGTATTCGTTACACATTATAACAAGACCGACAGAGGTGTTCTGCCATTTTATTAAATATAGTTATGTCTTGTTTTGTATCAATACATAACAACAAGATATATAAGGATGTCATCTAACTGGACCTCCGGTACAACGAATCTCTAATCAAGCTAACCAAACGTACACACTTTACTCTTATAGGGTGGGCTACCAGTCAGAATAATATCTGTGAATAATATATGTATTTTGTTCTCGTGTGAAATAAACATGCATTTCTCTTCACATCTACACCGTAACAAAGACGAAGGCGTGTGTGGATCACAGCTGATTGTACACTTCATGTTAAAGCTTTTCACCGTATTGATACCGTGTCTGTGCCTTCCTTGTGTTTTCCGCTGTGTCTGTGTAAAGGGACTACGGTAACATTACAGGTACATGCATGTACCTGACGTTCTGTGGAGGTATTGCACGCCGTGTAATGCCTAGACAATATGTAGTACCTACACTATTGCTTTGTTACCAACTGTTTCCATAACAAACGTACGGAATGAACAATGGTGGAAAGTGTTTTATATAACTCATTTCAACACGTTGTTATCCCCTACAAGGCTATGTTATCTAGATGGAATCAGTGCCCCTAAGTAATATGGCCATTCTGGATCCTGTAGTTGTAACCAATGGCACGCAATACGTAGCGGTGTGGTATGAACCTTGGTGCATTTTACAGTATAAAACAAAGCTAGGTGTGCAGTATTTCTATATCAAAACAAATTGAACCATGTGATTAAACAAAAATCCAGGTAGGCATTCCGAGAATGAAATACGATATATATGTATAATACAGCTGTACATAGTTATGTATCAGCAGATGTTGCAGGTTGCAAGTGAAGTATATAGAACAAGACCGATAGATCAATATCCTGAAATGTTGCAAATATAATTTGTTGAAGTTATTTGAGTAATGTTCATATCACAGACATCATTTATTACATAGTCTAGATGAGGATGTACATAGCGTTTCGATAGTCTGAAACGCCGTCCGTTAATAGCCGAGGAATAAGGCTAATCTGAATGATGATCTTGTGAAAGAAAAGTGATTAATTGCAAGAATAATTAAAAATTCGTGTGAACACGTAATATTTGGGCTTGATAGAAAACTTATGAATACTGGATTATGATAAAGTAATAATTTTAAGGAGTTCGGGTACATCTTACCCAATTAGAAAATTGTCCTGAAAATTCGTATTTGATAAATAATGAATTAATAAATGTGTACAGATAGGTTAGAGAACATTTAGAAAAATAGGTAAGAACTGTTAGAAGAAAACATCAATAAGTATCCACCTAAGCCTAGGGAACGGTATCACTACATTGTATGTATAATGGTTCGTACATTGTGTTAAGCATTTATTAAACAAAACTAACAAAATCAACGTTAACTACTGTTCAAGCTAACAAGTTAACTACTGTTCAAGCTAACATAACGTTTCACACTGTTTGGCACTATATTTCTCTCCGATAGTGTATTAACATTAGTATACACTCGCCAACTCAAGTACTCTGATATTCAAACATCACTGGCTAGTTACATGTGTCAAACTTATTATTACTGTCCAATTAAGGGGAGAGTGAACCATGGTTTTCGTTAGACTATTGTATAAACACAGTTTTGAAGCCTACTTGGCTAACTTTTGATGTTTAACAAGATGTCAAGGAGATATCTCCGGTATATTTGGAGTACATAGCCCAACTCCAATTTAAAACATTCGTATAGACTTAGTCGTATTTTTATGTGCGCTTCATCCATACAATTAAGTGTATACCCGTTATAGTATGCATTGAACTCGATATAATCGGGTGCCAATTAATATCACTGACATCCACTTGCAGACATCGAGTGTTATAACAAAATGTCATATACATTAGGTTCTCTCAAAGAACCCAAAGCACCGAGGAGTCGATATCGAGAGGTAAAAGTGACCGTTGACTAGTTCAAATGAATTGAAAAAAGCAACCTAAGGAAATAACATGCTTAATAACATATCCAACGATGGTTGTAGAAACCGGGTATCTTTAACAGTGTTGAAGTATATCACTTGATATCTTCTAACGATAAGAAAGAAATTGTTAAAATTGCGTTATAGTTCCTGTATTTCATTTGGAATGCGTCACATCCAGTAAAAATCAGGAATGTTTATTAACCTTTAAGTGTGGACACTATAAATAGATATTCGATATAATGACAGACACTTATTCTCATGTTCTATTTACATGAAAGTGTTTGTTTAAAATTTTATAACTTAGAATATAGTAGCCACGCTTGTAGTAATCTATTTGATATGTTATTTAATGACACCGTTAATTTACTATAAATATTCCAAGTAAACTAGCAATACATAGTTCCTTAATACTGCAAGTCGATAATCCATCACTCTCTAGTTCCTATGGACTCCAGGGAAATATTTCTATATTATTTCTATTATACATTGTCTTTATTTAATACAAGTTAACGATCGATATCTACTTCCTATTAAATTAAAGTTAGATATGTAACTATTTACACATACTACCTATTAAATCAAGCTACGTATGTAACTATCAATACATACTACCTATAACATTCAAGTGAACTATCAATGCATACTACTTATACAATACAAGTTAACTATCAATACATTCTACCTTATCAATCGTGGTTAACTATTAATTTGTATTATCTATAAATCCAAGTTTCATATCAATGCACACTACCCTTATAATTCAAGTTAAATATTAAAACATACTAACTATAAAATTCAAGTTAATAATCCAACTTTCTACCTACATTTGAACCACTTTTATAACGTTCCATTCATATATTGTACATTATCCAAGTTCACTTTCAATACATACTTCCTACATGTATGCAATACAGGTACATGTAAATTATTAATACATTTTACCTATATAATGGAAGTATAATCATGTTCTCTATTCAACAGCAGCTATAGGAAGGCGAGGCAAAGTTAGTTCTAAAAACCGAATATTATAGAACGTTTATGTCAGACGTGTCGACTTTTTTCCAGCATTTTTTACACACGCGTTACCTGTATTTGTTTTGCCTATTTTAAATATATCGATGTGAAACCTGAGTAAGTTAATATGTTGGTTTTGTAATTGACATTATTCATGGATATTTCATTATAGCAGGATTTAAATAGCATGTCCTTAAACCATTACTTACATGTTGTCCTCATTAGGATTTTTCACGTGAGTAAATGTATTGTACGTCGATCAAAGCTCCACAGGAAAATCACAGGCTCTGACTAATTACCTTAACTTTGAATTATACACTCACTTTTACCAAAACGACATTAATGTTCCGTGTAATCAACATGGCTGACTGATTGAAATGTATGTCATATTTCCATCAGCTGTGACAAGTTGCGACCTTAACGGGTAGTATGATAAAGTGGGTTGATCTTGATTGTGCTGTATCAGGTCTTGCATTTATATCTTGACCTGCTCTAAATATATCACTTTCACCAACAACAAAGATATTACAATGATAACATCAACATGCTGAATTTATACACTACTTTTTTAGAACATAAGTGACTTAGCATTTTTTTGTAAAAAACAACAATGGTTAATTGTTAATTTGTGCTATTGTAGAATGGTTTATTCGAAGATATATCGTATATAAACATATAACACGTGAGACATGTTATTCTTGAGTATGATAAAAATAAATCCAGTTGGAGTTGTTAGCGGATATTCTGGAATTTTAAAAGGTGAAATTCCCTGTATTGCCATATTAAACAATAATATCTTTTACAAATATCCAATTACCATGTTTATCAAAGGATGATATATGGTGCGCCCTCGTCGTCATTTATTGGCAATAATACCCTGTATTATATATAAATATATGAACTATAAACGTGACATCTTTCACACCTCACTGGTGTTAATACTTATTAAGTGATTGCTTTTGAAAAATGAATTTGCCTACTATTGATTACTGTGTAATATATCTTGTTTAATAACCAATATAAATTCAAGCCGGTGAAAAATGCATGTTAATAGTTAAATTATATATGTAATAAGAAGCAAAATTTACGACGGAAACCAATTTCTGACTCGTGTCCTGTCCTGCCTCGAACTCACGAACACCAGCACCAAATTACTTAACCAAGAAGCATCAGAATATTGCATCGTGCACGCCTCCTCAAAAATTGATGTTTTTGATATTGTTATCATGGTCAACAGTCCGGTTATCTCGACATGATCATAGAAACTTAATTTGCATAAACATTAGATATTAGATGCGGTATAATGACGACGGGCTGTTAGTATCTTTAACATTCATATCCTGTAACATGGAAAAACAACATACACTTTGTTTATACTTAACTTCTATATATCTTTAATGTTTTAGAGAGCACATGCTCACAACCATCCTCGGAATGGTCAGGCAACTGGTACGACAGTCAGTTTGATGGGACGTTTGGAATAACTTGGTCCAGTAATGTTATTACAATAACAGGCTGGTCAGTCACGGCCTATTCGTCCACAGTGACCAGCTGGTCATGTGTGACAGAGGATACAACAAACAACTATATAGTGTTCCTGTAAGACGTTTAATGTTTTAATTTTAAATATGAATATAGATAACTTATAACTGTATTCCTCAATTCCTTCTAAAGAGTAATAAAGAAAATCAAGGATGGGTTGCTTAAAGGATCATCCTATATGCTATCCAAACAAAAGCTTTAATTTTCGTTCTCTGTTTCTCTCAACATTTAGACATTTCTCTTTGATTAAAGATTAATTGGAAATTGTCGATTGTATTTGATTAATCAGTAAATACCCTCCGGAAATTGTTTTAATTTTATGAATACTCAAACAGTATAAAAGACAACGAAAAAACGAAAACGTTTTACTTTGCTGATAATAGTAAATGTCATGGGAAGAACTCATACGGTGTGGAATGTCGTTTTTTCAAAAAGCAAATAAAATTTGATGAATTTGTACCTGGATATTACGGTGGATTAAAAATTGTGATAACGTAACTATCTAACAAATACCGTAAATGATTAATAGATGGTTTATTCCATTATAGGGGAGACCAGACAGTGAACTTATTTGGACAGCCACAGAACGCCTATATATGCATGGCGTGGACCCAGGTCAGCACTTATTCTTATGTATACTACCTACAGGCAAGTAAGTAGCCAGTGCAACGGCATGTTTATATGTTAATTTCCATTGAAATTTAGTTCAACACATTGTTACAAATTTCGTTCTCATGTCAAACTAAAACAATGTTTTTGTTTTTCTTATTTAAAAACTAAACATTGTCAAAATTAATGCAACTAATTTCCCTTTTCAGTGATTTTTTATATGAGTGCTTTACAGTTTGCCTACCTCATACTTTTAACAGGATATCCACCATGCTATGCGTTGTATACTTGATGCGAGAATCAGATAATCTGATAGGTAGAGGCGATTGTTTTCTCGTATTTTCACTTCGGCATTCAACACAGTGTCAATGGGAAATCTATTAATAAGGAGTGATAGTGTAAAACTTAACCGATGAGAGTGTAAACTATAAATGAGTGACAGTACAATTTAGCCAATGCCAATGTAAAATATAAGTGGGTGTAATTTACCAATAGCTGACAACAAGAAAATCAAAAGATGACAGTGTAAAATATAAAGGGAATGCAGTTTAAAACTTCAATCGGTCAATTCGTACATATTCATATTGTATCCATTACTAAATAGTTATGTATTTATCTTATTATCTCACATCAGCTGCACGAGGTCTAGAAATGAACAGTACTGTACATTTATTTTTTATGGTCACATATTGTCTAAAAAAAAGGTTCTAACGCTAACTATGCTACCCATTTCCAATGATTAATTATTGACTGTAAGCAAAATCTTTATAATTATAATATCAATCCATTATGTCCATATATCTACATTGTACCACCAATGGAGAGGACTCGAATAGGCTATAGGCCTGTTGTTCAGTCCATTTGGCAGTGTAATATTCTTCTTTGTCGATCAAATATGTTGAAATTGAACTGGTGAAAGTGCAAAATAGCAACTGGTGACCATGCACAATATTTATTCTTAATGAATGTGGGGCAAGTCTGCATGTACGTATGATTGTTTCCACAATGTCATCCTTTTACCAAAGGTATAATACATTTTGCAAACATGTTTAATATAAAACACCCGTTGTTACCTTGGACAATGCTTTGCATCGAAGCTATCATTATCTTTATATATAACTTTGTAGATACGGAGGCCAATGCGGGAGAATTCCGTGTTTTTATAGAGGAATCGACCATCGCAACGGGGGCGGCCAGCAAATACTGTGCTCCTACCTCCGGTCCGTCCACAGCTGAATACCACACCCTAGTCAAGCAAAGTAGGACAACCGGCTCTTAACATCAGTATTTACTTGTTATAAAATAAAAATGAAAACATTTTCAATTACTGATCAAATATGGTAGCGCTTCTGAGGTTGTTACTTTTTAATACACATGATATTAATATTCAATCATTTTTCTATATATAGACGTGATACTTTATGAGTTATGATTGGTAAATACTATTATTACTACATAAGGACATACAATGTAGTATCAGTCAACATGTAAAAATCGTAGTAGTTTTCCGTTTCAGCTAGGTGGTTATGTAATAGTTGAACCTAAGGTCTCGTATTGATATCATGCCGTTATAATTTTGTTTCATAGGTCACATAACGAGTGTAGGGCAGTACTTTCCAACTCTCCTGCTGGGCACGTACGAATATACAGCTAATGATGGCTCTAGTTCTCTATGCGGAACCGGAAGTGTGTGGGATAACTGTAATGACAGAACCATTACAGCCTTCAACTACACCCAGTGTGCAACTGTAATGGCATATTCAAGTAAGATATTTCCTTGATTGTTAGTGAACTTTTAACAGGAAACAACAGTCATGAGACTAGAGAATATGCGTATAGTTTGCAATGCAGTATGATTAAAAGAATACCTAACAACACCATCGTACAGTCATACGTGTTGCGTTAGAAACCTCTATGATAAAACCGGTGCCCATAGAATGAAGTAGATTCCTGTGTTGAGTACACTATATACTGTTATGTGATAGTTGAAAAAATAACCTTTAGTGTTTCACTTTTGTCCAACAGGTGGTGGTACTTTGTACAACGTATACTCAGTCGTCAGTGGATCGTACACTTACGTCACCCTGGTCAACGCAGACGCAACGACTGACGAATCAACTACTTACAGATTTACATGTTTGGTACGTTATATTTAACTACCTATTAAACATGATTAATATAAGTGTATGTCCAACCTATCCATGTTTCATTGTGTTGCTTGCCAAGTGTCATTACCCCATTACAAGGACGAGACGGCAACCTGTTTCTGGTCTTTTTAATATTCTACTGCTTTGTGTTGTATTTAATTTATTTATTTATAAAACAAATCGTGCTTATTAAATATACTCATGTTTGAAGTTTAAATTTTAATTAAGGTGTTATACTTAATTGTCTTTGTAAAGATACTATTGTATAAGTAATGCTTTTGGCATTATATTTGCAAATCATAATTCGACAACACAGAAAGCATACACACCAAGTATTTACATCGAATTTTAAGGTAACATTAACAATAATAATCACATGCTCATAATATTCTGTTACAGATTTGTCAGGCCTCTGGTTCGAATGTCCAGTTAAGCATTGACCACGGTAGCTGTAGCACTTCGGGCAATCCCTCTACTGTCCCCGCTGGAGGAATGACTGCAACGCTGACCCCCTATGGTATGTACTGCAGTCTATTGACTTAACATAGAGTATTACTTTTTTGAATAAATCTTTCATAAGTGCGTTAGAAGTAACTCATTTGTTGATTTTACATAGATTATCATCTAAGCACCAATCGATGCCGTGACAAAATATATAATTGAAAAGAAAACGATGAAAAACAAATCTGTTTTTATTCCTTTTGGTAGTATGTTTTATAACTACCTGGTTTTCTAATAATTTGTTACATTTTATCAAGTGTATGACATCAACGCTTTAATAATATATTGTTTTTCTTTATGTGTGCCTTCCTTGTCGGGATAAACAGTTACCTGCCGTAAGTATATATTTCTCAATTCAGATAAACTATTTCTTAAGTACATGTTTCACTGGCATCGAGTTATTGACGTCTTTTTTATCTTAATTTCGTACTTAGTTATTCGCTTTTCTAAAGTATCATATATATCGAATCAATGACGTGCTTCGATTTTTAATTTCCTGATAAATTATTCGCTTGTGATTTAACCTATTATTAGATTAATAGGACATGAATGAAGTATTGTTAAGTATGAAACCGGTTCAATTGTCTAACTAGTAACATCACTTCTCCTCCAAGGGATACATGCCGTTAAGGCTATCTCCAACTGGCATAGCTTCATCAATGGTTATCGTAAAAAGAATTATATGTTTGATTTCTTTGGCAATAATTACCATTTATCACTAATTAAGATTGAAGTCGACTTTCCCGTTCATTCTGGATTGTATTTTTTGCTATTCCACAGCGTTCACAACGACCAGTGCTACGACAACATGTAGGGAGCATTTGTTGTTTTATTATCACTTTTTGGGGGTTTTCTGTTTTGCATGTGCTTGATTTGTATACCACTTTTAACAAAACTTGTGTTTGATCTCACAACTTAATATCACATCTTCTATACCACTCCCAAGTCCCTACCAATACATGGACTGAAAGTTGCATGTTTAACTGTGAATTGCACTGAATCAATTATTTAACCATACGCGTACCAATGGGAACACATGCAAGCTTGCATTAATTTCTCGACGTTTAAATCACTTGTTGTCCCTGGTTACTCTCTAAAATAAATGGTTTGTTATGTTTCGGTTTTTCGAAGTATATCTTGAAATTGTGTAAGTCGGGTTAATATGAGCGAGTCTAACTCATTCCATCGTATCGTGTTTCTCGAGTCACAGGGGATTTTCAGTATCACATTTGTATGCCAACACAAATATACTCTGACCGACTCCCTCGCCATCTACATTTCCAGTCAAACGATAGCCTGGTAATACTTGGCATGTCTTTTATATCCTACTTTTTCCTTGTTTGCTTACCTTTTTGGAGACTGATACTATTTGTTTTATCAGCATAATTCCTATATTCACTTGGTTGTTGTAAATTGCCTCACCTAAATAATATCATATATGGTACCCCCCTGATGGGGAGATGTTTTGTTTTTGTTTTCGTCAATATCAATCTTTTCCGCCTCACAAATTGCACATTCCCCAGCTCTCTCTCTCTACTATCTGTATATCTTACTCGTTTAAACGCTGACTAATGAGATGGTGTTGATTTCCATTGTTATTCCAATACTCGCGATGTTCTTAATTTCAATAAATATTGAATGAAAGTTATAAATGATTATATTGCACGATTATATACATTCGATTTTTAACTGAATCATTTACATTCTATGTATGGATGTATTTTCTGTAATTTGTCTATTTACCGCTATTTACGCTATTTACCTGAGCGGTGGCGACATCAATATATGTTGCGCTATGTACATATGTTTGCTGTATTGTAGAATTAGTTTATTGATCGAGTCCAGTGTGTCTTTTTGTTCAATTGGCACGAATTCATGTTAAAACTATTTTGACGGTATCCTAGTTCAGTTAACTTGGTGATTGTCAATCGTGTCCTCTAGACGATTAATTATCCACATATCAAAGCCATTATAATTATTCAATATACGCATTTTTATTTGTTTTTATTTTACTCGTTTGTTGTTTTACAGCCTTAAAAACGACCATAAGGGCTAGTGTATTAAGCAGATTTGTTGGTATAGGGATTGTTAAGTACTTTTGTTTCAGTGATTCACTACAACGGATGTCTCCCCTCTTCTAATCCGCATGTAATCGAACTGCACACATCAGTTTATCTTATAGAAAGCAGTAATATTAATTTGATAATAATTGAAGATATGAACTCAATATGTGTCATTAATACATAATCAGTGCAACGGGATTTGTTCGCCATTCGAATGCTGGAGAATAAATATTGGAATTAATCAATTGATTGATTGCCACTTTATAAATATTCTCTGCTGTGGAGGATCATCCGTTTACTCTGTGCGATTTGTTGTTTCACAGCGTTAGCAACGACGACCAATACGGGTAACACTTTACTATTAGATGTGTTGAGACAAAGGTTTCATTTCCTCCGATTCTATTTTCCTTATTTTCTTTATATATATATTTTTTTAATATTTTTTCCTCTGATTATACCAACCCAAGTAATGTATCCTTTCCAAGTTGTAACCATTATTTCAGTTACCTGTACATTGTCATCCCTTACGTTCAGGAATATTCTGTTGAAACAAAATGTAAGCCATATAATGCATTGTTAAGCATGCATGGATGGCTGTAGATAGTTGATTTACTCGCATGTATAACTTGAATTACATAATTGTATTACTAACCCCCTAGTCTAACATACTTGCGATTTCATTTAAGAGTAGCGTCGTTTGGTTATTGCTAGCAACATGATGCCATTTATTCATTACACGTTATGAAACTATAGAACTGATCCATCCATTATATATATATGATTATTTGGTGATATTAAGGGATATATAAGAGAAGAGTATAACGTTGAAAATAAAAGACATAAAGTGTTTAAATACAACCCTTAACAAAATCAAGTCTATGCTATAATTCTCAACCCAGATAAACTATTTCTTAAGTACATGTTTCACAGCCATCAAGTTATTGACGTCCTTTTTAACCTAATTTCGTACTTAGTTATTCGCTTTTATAAAGTATCATATAAATCGAATCAATGACGTGCTTCGATTTTTGATTTCATGATAAGTTATACGCTTGTGATTTAACCTATTATTAGATTAATATGACATGAATGAAGTATTGTTAAGTATGAAACCGGTTCGATTGTCTATCTAGTAACATCACTTCTCCTTACGCGCTATCACGTGATACATGCCGTTAAGTCTGTCTCCAACTGTAATAGCTTCATCAATGAGTATCTTAAAAAGAATTATATGTTTGTTTTCTTCGGCATTAACTACCATTTATCACTAATTAAGATTGAAGTCGACTTTCCCGTTCATTCTGGATTGTATTTTTTGCTATTCCACAGCGTCCGCAGCGGCCAGTGCTACATCATGTAGGGAGCATTTGTTGTTTTACTATCACCTTTCGGGTTTTTTCTGTTTTGCGTGTGCTTGATTTGTATACCACTTTTAACCAAACGTATGTTTGATCTCACAACTCCATATCACATCTTCATAACCACTCCCAAGTCCCTACCCAAACATGGACTGAAAGTTGCAAGTTTAACTGTGATTTGCACTGAATCAATTATTCGACCATACGCGTACCAATGGGAACGCATGTAAACTTGCATTTATTTCTCGACATTTAAATAACTTGTTGTCCCAGGTTACTCCCTGAAATAAATGGTTTGTTATGTTTCCGTTTTTAGAAGTATATCTTGAAATTGTTTACGTCGGGTTTATATGAGTGAGTCTAACTCATTCCATCGCATCATGTTTCTCGAGTCACAGGTGATTTTCAGTATCATATATGTATGCCAACATAAATATACTCTGACAGACTCCCTCGCCATCTACATTTCCAGTCAAACGATAGCCTGGTAATACTGATCCCAAGTCTTTTTATTACTGTAGGAAAATACTAGGCATGTCTTTTATATCCTACTTTTCCCTTGTTTGCTTACCTTTTTAAACACTGATTATATTTGTTTAATCAGCATAATTCCTATATCCACTTGGTTGTGGTAAATTACCTCACTTAAATAATATCATATATGGTGCCCCCTAATGTGGTGTTTTTTTGTTTTTATTTTCGTCACTATCAATCTTTTCTGCCTCACAAATTGCACATTCCCCAGCTCTCTCTCTACTATCTGTATATCTTACTCGTTTAAACGCTGACTAATGAGATGGTGTTGATTTCCATTGTTATTCCAATACTCGTGAAGTTCTTAATTTCAAATAATATTGAAACGAAGTTATAAATGATTATATTGCACAATTATATACATTCGATTTTTAACTGAATCATTTACATTCTATGTATGGATGTATTTTCTGTAATTTGTTTATTTACCGCTATTTACCGCTATTTACCTGAGCGGTGGCGACATCAATATATGTTGCGCTTTGTACATATGTTTGCTGTATTGTAGAATTAGTTTATTTCATTTGGCACGAATTCATGTTAAAACTATGTTTGCGGTATCCTAGTGCAGTTAACTTGGTGATTGTCAATTGTGTCCTCTGGACGATTAATTATCCACATATCAAAGCCATTATAATTATTCAATATACGCATTTTTATTTGTTTTTATTTTACTCGTTTGTTGTTTTACAGCCACAAAAACGACCATAAGGGCTAGTGTATTAAGCATATTTGTTGGTATAGGGATTGTTAAGTACTTTTGTTTCAGTGATTCACTACAACGGATGTCTCCCCTCTTCTAATCCGCATGTAATCGAACTGCACACATCAGTTTATCTTATAGAAAGCAGTAATATTAATTTGATAATAATTGAAGATATGAACTCAATATGTGTCATTAATACATAATCAGTGCAACGGGATTTGTTCGCCATTCGAATGCTGGAGAATAAATATTGGAATTAATCAATTGATTGATTGCCACTTTATAAATATTCTCTGCTGTGGAGGATCATCCGTTTACTCTGTGCGATTTGTTGTTTCATAGCGTTGGCAATGACGACCAATACGGGTAACACTTTACTATTAGTTGTGTTGAGACAAAGGTTTCATTTCCTCCGATTCTATTTTCCTTATATTCTTTATATATATATAGAATAAAAACAAATTTTCAGATCCTCCCTTAGGCTTTTCTGCCTTCTAGGGCTTCTTCAGGCGGATTGTATGTATTATATATTTTTTCCTCTGATTATACCAATCCAAGGAATGCATCCTTTCCTAGTTGTAACCATTATTTCAGTTACTTGTTCATTGTTATCCCTTACGTTCAGGAATATTGAAAAAAATGTAAGCCATATAATGCATTGTTAAGCATACATGGATGGCTGTAGATAGTTGATTTACATTTTACTCGCATGTATAACTTGAATCACATAATTGTATTGCTAATCCCCTAGTCTCATTGTTTTACAGCCTTAAAAACGACCATAAGATGTAAAATTTTATTTTTATATTTAGATAATATCCAAACAGTGATTATTTAAAATGATATATATATATATTAAAATGATATATATATATATATATATAGCAGGGCGACTTTATTCTACTAGGTTCAGCAAGTGACTTCTTTTTGAAAGAAGAACAGTATATTTCTCAAATTTTATTACTCTCGAAACATAAACATTATTTTGCGAGCTTGCTTTTCTCTGTAATAAATGCGGACCTTTAATTTTTTCAAATTCATAGAAATTACAATGTATTACGAAACGCAAAATTTAAAGTCTAACGCCCAAATCGGATTTTGACATCACACAAATGGTATTTCTCGACACTGTCCAAATGTCTTCTATTGTCTTCTGGTTTGGGGTCAAAGTTGTTTATAGATAATAATAACAGCCAAAAAAACGTAATTAGATTATGTATGCTCATTTGATTGGTTTCAGGACCTTCTTCACACATTTCACTATGACGTACGTTTATTCAGCAACGACTTTGCTTTTTTGCCTTACCATGATATAGTAGTCATATCTAGAACATTTTGAGGAGAGGAAAGAATGCTATTTGTTTTAATAAATTGTTTGATACTTTGCCATGATATTCCTAACATTACAGGGAAATACTTTATATAAGCACAAACGAGCTCATATTTGTACAGCGTTAAAAACTCCAACGGTTATGATTTAATGAAAAGATGTAAAGATATAATAGAAATGATATTGAAATGAGTAACCTTTATTTGATTTGCTGTCAACCTTATAACAGAAGCATTTTGTACTTGTCTAAATTTTAGCTACAACTGAAACCAGTAGCGGTGGTATTGGACTTTATATCGGAGCCGCCATCGGAGGGTTGCTTTTTATCCTCATCATCATCGGCGTTATCATCATCTGTCTTAAACTCAAGAAAAAGAAAAATGTTGTACAGGACGAAGAAAAGAAGCAGGCGCCTCCTCAAGGTAAAGTCTTTTTCTCTGGATTTATTGTTGTTTCTGGAATATTGAATAAATCTACAGGACGTCCCACCTTAAAGGTGCCATCTTATCATATAATAATACTTCATCCTATTATGGCATCTGCATACCACTAAAGTCGTTCCGAATAGCACGATTGCCTCCATTACATAAAAAGAGTATTACACTTTATATTAAGTATTGTGAAGCTCACGCACATTTGAAGGCCTTACGATACCCTCCCTCCAGCAAGTAGACGCATTTTCAGAAAGTCTTTCTAATCCTTCCTTTCAAATTTTTATATCATATTTATATATCATCTTGTATCAATGACATTGTTTTTGAGGACTTTAAATAAACATTCATCCTTTGTGTATATTTAGTTCGTGTATTTCGAAAAGACATTTTTGATATTCGAAGATTTCCAGGTAAGATCACCGCTAATGCATGACTCACTTCGGTAACCGGTTTGGTTAAATGACTGCCAGTCACATCAATCAATGACAATGATTGTATGGCGTAGGTTTATGCATGTTAGTTTATAATTTTGTATACATTTGAAAGGTCAAGGTGAAGGAAAAGACAACAGGGACGCTTATTTGTTTCCAGTCATATTGTCGGTCACTGGTTGCAGTGAATTTATTTCATTGTAAATTAACGTTCAGAAGTAATTCGTGAGATCAGCCATAATGTAGCTCTTCTTTATATATAAAGGTATGGAAAGCGTTTGCTTATTTTAAGCTTCTTAATTACTTTTTATTGTTGATGACAAATAATTCCTCTGTACATATATGTTATATGATTCCTTAGAGATCGAGTGATGTGCTATTGCTTATCACAAAAACGTCCTCAGATTAGTACTAATTAATGCGTCTCTTAAAATCATTGATAATGTAATAATTGATCTCCAACACATTTACAAAATTCATGTCGTTTTACATTTTCTATCGTATTTGTAATGTGTATATTCATTCCTTATTCAGAATTATGCTAGGTACTTACTATCATGACTATCATCCATCTTTTTTCAGGGAAATATTTACCACCCATTAATGGAGGTAAACTATGTATTAAGTAGAATATACTATATCTATACATAGATATTTTTTCTCATTTAACGCATGTTCATCAGGTTTCTTCTATTCATTTGTTGGCTTCTTTTAACCATTTAAACGAAATGCATGTTGTTTGAAGAGAAGCAATGCTCTTTTCAGATCCGGCAATATCAGCATTTTGTCACAATGCATGTTAATTATGTATCACAAAATCTCAGCTCTTTCACATGCATTTTCAAAAGCGATATATGCCATTAATATTTGCAGATAGTCAAAAGATGCTAAAATACGTGTAATGGGTTGCTTATGCGTGTAAAATGTAGCTTATATCATATGCTGCAGCTTAACATGCATGCAATAATAAGCCGAATTATTCCATGTGAAAGCTAAGCATAGAGGTAGGAAACGACTGTTATGATATACTTAAGTATTGGTTTTCGCCCTGGATGGACACTTTCTGATACAAATTTAGGCCTGATTTAGGACAGAGGTAGTATAATCATTAAAGCAGTTCTCAGTGAGGCAAATAGGAAAAGAAAGGAAATTTTTTTGTAAGCAAATATGAAAACGATATATATTTCTAGTAAGAAATGATATTCACACAGCCTCAATCATTATTATTACAAATATGTTATAGTTGATATCATTGAAGTCTATCAATTTCCTGATATTTGACAACTGAATGTCTAGTTTCAACGACACAGCGACATCATGAATATGACTAGGGTGTTTAGGCCTTAATGCTTGGATACTTTCATTGCAATTTGCATCTCGTTATGAGTGTTATATTCACTTTGTTATTGGGGAGCGATTAACAGACTCTGACAACATATATTCTTGATTGGAATAAGTATGAAATGTTCTTAGATTAGATTAGCCTATGTCTTTTTCATTATTCTGTGTATAGTATATATCGTAGAGCGTGATCTGAATATTATTCTCTCATCGTTGTACAATACTCGAACAGTGACCTTGGAATATCATTATAAATAAAGATACTATTTCATCATAGTTTACTTTATATGACAAAAAACAGTTTTGTAATGGAAACGATTACAAAAATGTTTTCGTTTATCAATTAACAAACTTGCCAACCAATGTGTTGGAATCATATTTCATTTAATTGTGTTTAACATCTAACATGTAACATGTTCGAGTAGTGTACATGTATGACTCAACAGCATATGGTAACAAAATCATATGAACTATTACATCTGAATCGAACCACTTAAAGATACAAGAGAATAGTGTTCCAATGTATTTGAATTATCAAATACATAGTTCGGTATCACCGGAGTTTACCTATATCATATGCCTATGACTTATACTCAAAAATGTGTTTCCCCATATACAAAAAGGAACTCATTTTATGATTAATTAACATTAATTTGTTCATTTATGTGACGGCTCTGTCTTTCATTTTCTTTCATTTTCATACCCCTTGGATATGATTTTTGTAAGTATGGTTCAACACACTAGAAGTCCCTTTAAGATACTTTAAATAAAAACATACCATACCCGAGGGAATTGCTGTGTTGTACTCCAACCCAAATAACATGTTTTCACCTTAGTAGGCCAAACCGAAAACTATTCAATCTTACATAGTACGCTATATTGATTCTGTTTGTATTGTTGTGTATAGTTTTGATTCTTATTGTAAATGTATTTAAAACGTTTATTTCATCAACAATCAATTGCAAGGTCGTATTATATTGAACGCTTGAAGAGGCAAACACTAATTTAACAATCAGTTTCTAAACTACATGCCATGGTACATGGCACGAACTTTTAGATTTGCAATGAGGCGGTCTAACTTTAATTCCTATACAACAAAGTGTACACAGGGCCAATTAAGCTCCGCGGTCAAAGAAAATAGTCAAGTACTTGATTTATCAATAAAGGTGGAAGTCGTTGATGACAAGCTTTTGTCATTATGTGGCTAGCACTGTCGTACTTTGTTTACCCTTGGTAACACACACACCACGAGTACCTGTTAAGTAGGGGGCAGGCAAGGGCACTCGAGGTGTGGCAAGGGCCCACAAGTCATCATTACACCGTGTCGCAATAGCTTCAGTTATCTTACAGCTTGGCAACTATGTTAAAAAAACTTAACAGTGTGTGGTTTGTTGTACTTTTGTTATTAGTTAAGGTTCAAAATGTAAGCAAAGTTTGATTGTTCCTCGCTATAGTTCAATATAGGAACCTGTGCAGCATCAGACTGTTTTATACCAAACGATCTTTTGCGCTATTCTTCTTTGCGCTTTCACTATCATTAAGCAGTTTCTTCAGAAAAAAAGAACAAACTTTTCCATTTTCAAGTAAATCTGTACGTTAGCAACTTTTACAATATATATTTTATATCGGGTTATAGGGTTTCTGAGAGATGTAGTTAGGTAGCGTTGATATCACAGTACATTTAATGTATATATAAGATAAATGCCTGGGGTTATATGGTGTCTAAAAGAGGTAATTAGGTAGCGTTGATACTACAGAACATTTAAGGTATACATAAGAGAAGTGCCTTGGGTTATACGGGTGTCTAAGAGAGGTAGTTAGGTAGCGTTGATACCACAGTACATTTAATGTATATATAGTATAAGTGCCTATGGTTATACGATTTCTAAGCGATGTAGTTAGGTAGCGTTGATATACCACAGTACATTTAATGTATATATAGTATAAGTGCCTAGGGTTATACGGTGCCTAAGAGAGGTAGTTAGGTAGCGTTTACCACAGTACATTTAATGTATATATAGTATAAGTGCCTGGGGTTATACGGTGACTAAGAGAGGAAGTTAGGTAGAGTTAATACCACAGTACATTAACTGGATATAGTATAAGTACCTGGGGTTATACGGTGTCTAAGAGAGGTAGTTAGGTAGAGTTGATACTACAGTACATTTAATGTATATATAGTAAAAGTACCTGGGGTTATACGGTGTCTAAGAGAGGTAGTTAGGGAGAGTTGATACTACAGTACATTTAATGTATATATAGAATATGTACCTGGGGTTATACGGGTGTCTAAGAGAGGTAGTTAGGTAGAGTTGATACCACAGTACATTAACTGGATATAATATAAATACCTGGGTTATACGGTGTCTAAGAGAGGTAGTAAGGTAGAGTTGATACCACAGTGCATTTAATGTTTATATAGAATATGTACCTGGGGTTATACGGTGTCTAAGAGAGGTAGTTAGGTAGAGTTGATACTACAGTACATTTACTATATGTATAGTGTAAGTACCTGGGGTTATACGGTGTCTAAGAGAGGTAGTTAGGTAGAGTTGATACCACAGTACATTAACTGGATATAATATAAATACCTGGGTTATACGGTTTCTAAGAGAGGTAGTTAGGTAGAGTTGATACTACAGTACATTTAATGTATATATAGTAAAAGTGCCTGGGCTTATACGGTGTCTAAGAGAGGTAGTTAGGTAGTGTTGATACTACAGTACATTTAATGTATATATAGTAAAAGTGCCTGGGGTTATACGGTGTCTAAGAGAGGTAGTTAGGTAGAGTTGATACTACAGTACATTTACTATATATATAGTATAAGTACCTGGGGTTATACGGGTGTCTATGAGAGGTAGTTAGGTAGAGTTGATACTACAGTACATTTAATGCATACATAAGATAAGTATCTGGGGTTATACGGTGTCTAAGAGAGGTAGTTAGGTAGCGTTGATACCACAGTACATTTACTATATATATAGTAAAAGTACCTGGGGTTATACGGTGTCTAAGAGAGGTAGTTAGCTAGAGTTGATACTACCGTACATTTACTATATATATATTAAATGTACTGTGGTTTCAACGCTACCTAACGACCTCTCTTAGACACGGTATAACCCCAGGTACATATTCTATATATACATTAAATGTACCGTAGTATCAACACTACCTATCTACCTCTCTTAGACGCCGTATAACCCCAGGAACTTATACTATATATACATTAAATGTACCGTAGTATCAACACTACCTATCTACCTCTCTTAGACACCGTATACCCCCAGGTACTTTTACTATATATATAGTATAAGTTCCTGGGGTTATACGGTGTCTAAGAGAGGTAGTTAGGTAGAGTTGATACCACAGTACATTTAATGTTTATATAGTATAAGTACCTGAGGTTGTACGGTGTCTAAGAGAGGTAGTTAGGTAGAGTTGATACTACAGTACATTTACTATATATATAGTATAAGTACCTGGGGTTATACGGTGTCTAAGAGAGGTAGTTAGGTAGCGTTGATACCACAGTACATTTAATGTTTATATAGTATAAGTACCTGAGGTTGTACGGTGTCTAAGAGAGGTAGTTAGGTAGCGTTGATACTACAGTACATTTAATGTATACGAAAATCGACTCTATGCAAACCCTAGACATCTACATGTCAGTGAAACACAGATTAATATCAAGTCTCTTTCCTAATCCATTTGAAGGACATTTCCTTCCACGGTTATAATTACTGAGGATAAATATTAACGTTAGTAGATCGTTGTGATGTTGCTTTATAAAATACTTTTGAAATTCGAGAAGGTCATATTTTTTTCATTTTGTCCATTTGCTTTTGAATTTGTCATTTGTATTGGATTTTTGTACAATGCCCAATTTGCCTACTTTCTATATTTTAATTTATGGCAGTGCTTTGCCTGTTGAGTCATGTTTTTACTTGTCGGCTTGAACACTCTATGCATTAACGTAAAATGATATTACATTCTAAACATAACATATACGAACAGGCTTGTCTATTATTACAGTCATGTTCTCTCATGATGTTAGCATACTTTCTGCCAATATTGAACCATTTTTTTTAATTTCATTTCTCTGTTTCGAAACGTCGATGTAACGTTGGTCAGAGGCATTGTTAATTTCAATGGACAAATTGATCTTTGAAATGGTGTCATTAGCAAACCGGAAAACTTCCAGACTATTGATATTAACACAGACAGTGGAATAAATCATCAGTGGATAATGACTATACGTTACATCTCCTTTTAACAATATATTGTACATCAATACACACGTCATTAACGAGGGAGGGTTTGGTAACGCCTGGCTCCACAGAGGAGTAGTAATCTCCTGGTACAACAATGTACCAATGGACTAGTATATGACGATGATAATACGTATTGGAGAAATATAGAAATCACAAGCCAATTACTGTCATTGTTATAACGTCGCACGTTTACATGGTATTGATTTAACCGAGTCTTTGATCAAACCAGGTAATAAATACTACGGCATATATCATTACCAGTCAATCAGACCCTTTAAAATGATACCCAAAATATATAATTTAACATCCAATATCCTGAACTGGATAAATAAGTCTATGTTTAACCCATACTTTCCTGTATGCGTCTGTATATTGGTATATATTGTTCCTACCTTAAAAGCATTTACTGTTAATGTGTGACCTACTTCTGTACTTACCCTTGACTGAATAACAACATCCATATTTTTTCCTCTTTTCATTTTGTAATTCTGTCTTTCTACCTCATCATTGCCAACCTAAATTACGACAAATTTTATGAAATTATCTTTATTACATTTTGATACCTACCCAAGTTTATTCCGGGTAAAACAAGAAACCAATCTCATTTAATGATAAACAGATGTAAAGATCACTTATTTTATATGTTTTTTACGATGAAAATATATCTAAGTTACTGAGCACCACTGTGTTCATATCGTCACCAATTTCAATTGCTAGCACATCAATCAGAATGAATCAATGTCTATACTGTAACCAACATATTATCTTTGAAGAATTAGCGATTATCATAAGGAATATTGGCGATGTGAAATATTTGAAAGCTTCACTCATTACCACGAAATTTGAATATTGTAAGTTATATTTCTTACAGAATGTGTTATAGAAACGATGTCCCCGCGAGATGCCCTCGAGATTGGATCACCTGACATTGACAACCGACTAACACCTTTACCGGTACAGCCTATCGCCCCAGTGACAGCACCACAAACGGACAAACATCCTCTTCCGCCCATCACAAACAATGGCTGACGATTCTATATGAAAACATCCAAGCAGACATCTGTGATACTTATTCCTTATTCATTTACGCTGGTGTGTTGAAACAAGGTCATTTTATATTGTTACTTGATCATTAGTGTGTTTGGACATGTTCGACTAATGCTCCAAGGTGTAAAAACAAGTGGCCAATGGTCAAAGCCAATGACCATGCGTGTAATTTCTTGTAATCATCATAATACTCTGCGTGTTTTGTGATTGACATTTCACAGTATTTAACAATTGTGTAGCGTATACTTATCAAAAGGTCTATACATACCTTTGAATTTAAAAAAAAAATGTGACTGAAACATTAGAGGTGCAAATGTGTGTCTTAACCACGTTAAACTTTGTAATAATGAGTCGGTTTAAGACAAACAGTTATACGTATACCTTTATGAGCGCTGGACAGCTGCAATCGTGGTGTAAACGATTTGTCATTTAGGATTTTTTAACTTATTTTTTGGTTACTCTCTCAGTGAAGATATGCTTCTAGTTACCAGCACAAATAATGCAGAAGATTCGAAATCCGGAACACCGATGAAAACACGTGACCGGATTGGATATGATGTGAACATATAAACAAAACGCCACATGTGTGCGCCGAACAGTACTCATTGATATGGTTCGTCAGTTTGTACATATCTGTGTATATACGTTATCTCTGATAACGTCTTTGCCATATCACTGACAATTATATTGACTATAGATGGGATGTATTATCACTGAGTGAATTCTGTGTGTTGTGACGTATACTCGTATAACTTTATTGATATCTTTACCAACATGTTATGAACATGATCATGTCACCTACGTACTTTCCTTACTGTATGTATACATTACGTTCCGCAAGATTCCATTTCATGTAAGCTGACGGTGATCGTTACCAAATTTTGTATTTGTGAATAAATTCAAATGATATACTAGATGGAACTGAAGTCCACAATTTCGTATGGATTTTTAGATTAGATGTAAGGCGGGCGGACCTATCAATATGTCTCTACGCCTTTAACAGTAATTTCTATGGCATCATCATACCTCATTGTCCCATAAGTTTGTATTAAATTCCAGTGATACGTGAAACTAAAATTGCTATTGTCATATGTCTTTCTTTCCCCTTCCACCTGTGATATCAAATGTACTTTATTGAAAATACCATGTCTGTTTAATAAACTTTGTTTGTTATATTTACCTAGCTGTGTGTACAGGTCTACAGATTATACTATATAGTACAAGGTGGCGAAGAAACGGTCTGGGTTAGGATGAATTGAGATTAAATAAAGTTTACTGAGTCAATGTCCTTATAACGATAAGATACCGAAGGATTATTACATTCCAATTTAACTTAATTTATTTGTAAATATATACAGCATTAAGGAATGACATTATTATCTATATTATATTATTGTATTATCGACGATTCTCCTTGAAATGTAGAACTTTTATACAGTCGTGTTTTTGCTTTGTGAGGAATAAAAACAACAACAAATATTAATTGGTTAAATAGAAGTTCAACAATGAGTGACGATATCGCTTATTATGATTATCTAATTCGACTGAATTAGTCCTTTTCACAATTTTCAAAACAACGAGGTTTTACCAAAAGTAATTCGTATTTATAATGGCATTGCAATGAATTGTGACCGAGCAGCTTGTGTGCTGTAACATAACATTGTTAGCTTAAAATTAGGTCTGTTTATTCCAAAGTTGTAAAGAGAGTGAATTAACCTATAACACTTTGGGGAAAGCTTAATTCCATTTCTTCCAATATTTAAAGAAGATAGTGAGCTTTAACCAAGATAGTGAGCTTAAACCAAGATAGTGAGCTTTAACCAAGATAGTGAGCGTTAACCAAGACGCAGTATCCGTCGTCCGCCATGACATTTTCATTTACAAGACTACTATTGAAATGCAATAAAATTGACTAATTTGACCAAGGAAATTTAAGTTTCCCTAAATGAAGGATGTGATCACTTGGACCCTGTGTGCTAAGAAGTGGATAAAAACAACAAGGGTTAATCTTAAACAGACTACCTCTTTTGCGTTGAAGGTATTTTCACGGTTCATTCATAGACTGAGGACATTCAATTTGTAAACACAAAGGATGTGTGGATCTAAAACCTGTCCACTCCTACCCCATATACTTCCCGAGGAAGGGGCGACCGGGTGCAAAAGGATGAATATGGGTTATATTTGACAGATCATTTTTTTAGTAAGGATTAACTTAATATTACTTATACATAAATGGATTCAAACAAATTTGTCATGGAACATTCCGAAACTAAGTCAATGGTGGAATAACTGCAACCCCATTAGGATATAATTCTTTCTGCATGAAGGGAATTTTAAGTTGCAAGAATTACGAGATTTCGTCTCAATGAGAACAGAACGGCGGGACCCTCGAAAGTTGTATCATGTGACCACATCTGTTATTTTCCGATTGCAGTTACATTCCTGTAATTGCCATATGATATAATAGTGTGCTATGTAAGATCAACATGATAAGTGTAATGTAGGCTTGGAATGCACCGTAAAAATTATTTAACATGTGAGAACTTTCTTAAACAAATAAATAAATAACTGTTTAAGGTACACTATACATAGTTTAACTGGAAATGTACGCCATTGGTTAACATATACCCTTGCACCCCACTTTAATCAATGTTTAGTTAGATAATTGTAGCCATTTCGTTATCTTGTAATAGACTTCAAGTTCCTGGACCAAGCATGAGAAATTGCGATTGAAACGTTTGAAAGAATAGGTCCAAAATATCCTCAAGTTGTTATCAAAACCGTTGTTCCAAATAAAGAGACCAAGACACCTGTACTGTGAACCCCTTAAGATGTACGGCCTTTAATTTTTGTGTTCATAACATTCATAAGAAGTTTTAAATGTGCGGGTTATGGTAGGTATGTTATTGTACCTTGACATTTAAGCTTTGAACCCCCTATTAAATTCAGAAGCCGTAATGTACAAGTTATGGACCGAAACATGTTAAAATACTGGGTATAATTATTTTTCTAAAGCATTTGACATGGTAAGTCAATCATAACAATCACATAAATTCAAATCATATTCGATGTAAGGAAATATTATTAAAATGTTCTAAATTAATATCTACCAAATACGACAGGCAACAGCGTAATAAATGCGCCAACGTTGAGTTGGTGTGGCGTAATTTTTGGGGTTTCACCAGGTTGATTTTTAGACCAAAGATTTGTTTTTGCCATGTTTTATTGATCCGCCATGTTTTAAAACAATTAAACGCGTTACTTTTTGCTGAAGATCGCAACACTCTGGTAGAGATATATCAGATTGTGAGCAATTGCAGAAAAATATTGGAAAGGTGCATCATTGTTGCAAAGGTAAGAAATAGTTGCCGAACTGTATATTTTCTTTGAAGAAAAATTAAATAAATACCTTATAATAGGAGGAGAGATCTTGATAAAAAAAAATTGTGAAAGCATTGGGTCTATGTTTGACTCTAGATATAAATTTTAATGTTCGCAATGGGAAAAAAAGTATCTTAATCTATGCAAATGTTAAGGATTTTAAAACGTTCATGCAAACGTTTTACAAATATTACATATATTTAGACTTTGAACAAAACGTTTGAACTTAGCTTAAGTACTGTGTTGAATTGTTGATTTCTTTCAGTCCTTTTTATACATTATTTTGGAATGGCCAAATGTATTCTTAATGATTCCTATTTTAAAGCAAAACTGAATTCAGATGCCAAATCATATTCAATGTCCATAAGCGTTTTAACTTTCAATATTTGAAAACATTTATAAACCCTGTTTTCCCTTTTTAAATGTATCCTCTTTGTCCCGTTCTTATTTCATTTTGCAATTTTTATCACATATCACGACAGAAATTTTAGACATTTTGCAAAAGTTCATTTTGAAGATTTTATATATTTCCTCATAAGTCAAAGACATTTCAACATTGGACCATTTATTCTGAAATATCAGGTGTTACAATTTTCGCTATTTACTGATCGTCATTCTGTTGTTCTTGCGTTTATCTGTAACTACGTCACACTGGCTACAAACCAAGTACCTTTTTATATGATAGGTTAAATTCACCTGATTTGTTGTTCTTACGGTGTGCAGCGTGGCTTTGGCAACTATAAAACATAAAGCAATTTTAAACACGAAGCATGATCCAGTATGCATATTAAAGTGTTACGTCACAGTGAACTTGATCTTTGACATTTGTACGCAACAACGTGTAGGGCTATAAAGCCACCATTTGGTAGGATGAATGCACATTACAGAGTACTCGGGTTATAGTCACTTTAACTGAGGTGGTGAACCCAGCGTTTTTATTTAACTTTATGTTGTGTGTAGGGGTGATCAACTATGTTTTTCTCAACACACAAATACAGACTTAGAACTCAAAATATATACAGTGTACGAACAGACACCATTAGGGGAAGACGAGGCACGGACATAATGTTAGATCAATTGTGATCTGGTTTAATTGGCATGGATGATGTCATTCTTGTTTTATGTGCATGGCACAAAAATAAACTTCCTTACAAAGTGTTTGTGCATTCAATACCAACACACACCGATATTAATATTATATCAGCTTTATAGAAATAAACTCGCGTGTTATACATGAGATAACGATCATGTCATTGAAACCTTTGGACTTTGTTGTATTTCTTAAGTATGTTTTGTGTTTCATGGTTAAGGGCATATAAAAGGAATACTGCGTGAAATGCCGATATTGTTAAATATGAGCTTCTTAGAGTAATTTTGCAAATTGGATAGGGCGCTATATAAATGTTGTGTATCATCATCATTATTAACGCCATTACCACATTTATTACTACCAGAGATACCTTAGGAACTTATAAACCATAAAAGGAACAAGTTATGTATCAATTTTTAACGTTAATCATAATGTTATTTGAAGAATCTCGTTACTTTGTAAAGCTTTTTAATATTTCTGAATATGTGTAGACCATATATATGCTTCACAGTCATAATATATATACAGTATGTAGATCTTCACAATGTTGGTCGGTCCCAATTTATGTGTAACATTTACAGCTCCGTAATGGCCGCCGTTGGTATATTAAGTATATACACACATATATATTGAGGTACTGTCATACAATGACAAATACAATGTATCAGTTCATGCACAAACACATTGTATATTTAATTAAGTTATAAAGAAAACGAAGCAGAAACCACAAAAGAAGAACTTTGAACGTAAAATCGATATTTGAAGACAAAAACAAGAACTCAGATATTACTATTTTCACCGGAACGGCACCGTTGACATAGACACATAACCCGGATATATAAACAGGTATTCCGGAAAGATAGGCGTTTCTTCAACAATATGTGGCACCTGTCATAATGTCCCCAACCAGGGGAAGTGTATTAGTCCTTAATTATCCAGGTTGAATGTACAAGTCTTTAGTAATGATATAAATATAAACCTTATTTGTGGAATCGGGTGATGATACATGTAATATCTAACATCTGATGAAAGTATGTCTGTATATTTTTTTTTAAATTCCTATACTTAGAAGAACATGCTCAGGACTACGTGGTTTGCGGACATGTATCTTCTGCTGAGCATTACAGGTACTGTATTAATTTAACAATAATATTAAGTTACACCGGTTATAAGCATTTACGTCAACCAAGGTTACAAGCAAAATGTCTTATTATTATCAATCAGTATGATTTTAATTTTAATTTTACTACAAAATGTAGCTATACAGATATCAATATAAACGTAATCAAAGGTCACACGTCAAATAGGTCAAATGATAAAGTTCTGAAAAGTATTTGCATTATAATGAAACAAATCAACCATTATATTCGATAACTGAGACCTACTAAATGATAAATAAGGGATATATGTTGCTTTCACATGTGAAATTATTATCTGATGATTATCAATATAGTACTTATGACTTAATATAGTACTTATGACTTAATCTAGCCCTCACATCATCTTTCTTTTATATCATCTACCCCGCAGTTAATCTAGCCCTCATATCACCCAAATGTCATACCATCTAACCATTATATCACCAACCCTCATATCACCC